ATCAAGGTGTACTACATGCAAAAGTGGATAAGCAATGAAAATGCAGGCAGATTGTATATGCATACAGTTAGCCAAAATCACCACTGACTTTTAGAAACACTAAGCTATGTAGGAGAATTTTAGAGCTACCCGACTGCCATTGAAGCAGGTGAGTTTTACAACTGTGTTGTAGAAAACGGCCTCAATCCTTTCTAGAAATCTCCTCTGATTTTCTCTGTGGGAGATGTGTCTGGGTTTCACAGATCAGACACAGGCTGCTTATCCTCTTGAACTGCAATATAAATATATTAGCATTAATAATTATGAACAAGGAAAAGAACTAGTACTGGTATCATCCTTTGAATCAGTTGTCTTTGTTGATTACAGCTTTTTGTCAAATATTTTCAAAAAAGGTGTGGGGTTCACTGTTAGTGTTTTATTGTCACATTTTAATTTCTTGGTCACTCTCTTTTAAAAATTTTTACACAGTTGGTTTTTTCAAATGGAGACATGGAAAGAATATTAATGACATTCTGTCTTTGAAGCCTGTCTTCCGACCTTCATAAAGCCAGCAGACTTGCTGCTTCTATAAAAAGAAATGTAATTGTGTGTATCCTTCAGTTAGTTTCTTTCCCACCTATCTAAATAGATGGTCTGGATAAGCCTAATCTGTTTTGTCTGGTTTATCGCCCATAATAGATATAATTAACAATTATGGGGAATTTACAGTAACAGAAGGGCATCACTGTGAAAGAACAGCAGTGGTAGTTGGGCTATATAAATTTGGTTTGCGCCTGTGAAATGTCTTTTTTTATTTTTTTAAATCAGAATGGAGATATGATGAAACTGGGGGACAGTATTACAAGAGTATAGGCAGTGGTCATAGTGCATTCCTGACTGACTGGAGAGGTGGTACAGTAACAGGGAGCTTTTATGCAAAGCACTGAAGTGGCTTTGTGCATGTTTGTGCAATATATAGGGTATTATGGAAAAATGTGTGTGTTTGAATTTTTAACTACCAGATGATAGAAACAGCCGTAATTGATGCAGGTTTGGATTTAATTGTGGGCAGTGCAGAGTAAACTTCAGCCCCTCGTCAGTCCCAAATCATGAGCCTTCCCTCATGCTGAGAACTCCTGACAGGCATGGAAGGAGGGTCAGAGATGTTGCCCTCTATGTTAGGGAGTGGATAGAGAGTAAAGAGCTGTCCCTAAAGACATGTCTAAAACAAACTGGTCTTGAACCAGCCATCTACCTTCCCATGCTGCCAAGAAATGCAAATGCAAAATATTAAATAGTGCATATTTTCAGTGTTTGAACTACTCCCAGTGCTCAACATACAAGAATCTCTGACTAACAAGCTTAGAAAGGTTTTCAAGATAAACTAACTGAATATGGTGAAATAAGCTTTCACGGGTGTCAGTCCAGGATCTCTGTGAACCTGGCAACAGTACTATCTTTCTGCTGTTGGAACAAATCAGAGCTATCTGATAAAATCACTGCACCAGTGCTGCTCTGGAGCACCCTGCCATCTCACAGGACCTTGCCTGGACATAATCTTGTGATACAACATTCAGAGAGCAATTAAAGCTGGCTTCGGAGGCTTCATCTGACTACTGAGTCTTATGTTGGGAATCTCCAGCTTCCTCTTCAGTGCTGGCCTGTAATAGGACTCCTTTCCCCTAATCTCCACTTCATATTCAAAAGCAGTTGAAAAGGTGGATCTCTGCATTATAGGAGTGTGGCAGTTTACATCCAATACTGAGTTATCATTCAAATGAAAATAAGCAAATTTCATGGTGCACTAAATTGCATCAAAACATTATCTGTTTTCTGGCATTTCTGCTTTCTTACACTGACTGGAGCTGGGGCATTCACCATGAATGTTTAATTTAGTCCAGACCTCATACAAACTGAAAGAGGAAGGAAAAGATCAGCAGAAATGTATCCGAGAAGTGCAGTGTTCAAAAGGATGGTGAAAAACTGCTTTGTTTCTTTGTGGCTATTTCCCTGGTGTGGCATGCAGTTATTTAATCAGGGCATACGAGTCCCTGCAGAAAGCAAGACAGATGATTCTAAATGAAGCTGTGCACTTGGTAATGAGGACTGACCAAAATGCTTGAGCGCTCTGCTTCAGAGCAGACTCCTCAAGACTATATTACTGATAAGGCTGCAACCACATTATTATTATGCAAGCCTGACAATTTTTAAGCCTGTGTTTTACATGCATGCACTAGAAAATGCGTGAGTTGCTCTGTACATGGTAAACCATCATTCTTAATGTTCTGTACTCCTTGGAAATTCCATCGTGTGTATGAAGAGAAAGGCTTCAGTGTCTGGTTAAAGAGACACCTTTAAACAACCTGCTTTGTATTTTGCATGCAAACCCACTAGAGCTCATTGCACCCTCAGTTTGCAGGGCATCTGATCCCCAGGTACTGTGAGCCAGCTTAACTCCACTGATAATCTGGCTGAAAGAGGCCATTGTAGAATAGAAATGTGCATCAGGTTACATTTCATTGCTATGAAGTAACTCATCTTTGGTTATAACCAATAACCAGCAATGCTTTCTGTGCCACAGGTAGAGAAGTTAGCACAGAGCTCCCTCATTTAACAAATTAAATAGAAACTACTTAAGTTCTACGACATTCTTTCTGCAATGGGCATAATCAGGATGTACATTCTCTTGTGGTATGATGACACTCACATCAAAAGGCACTGAGCAGGAAATGGCACTGTATCCTGCAAAGGGTTGTACAGATACACAAGTTCTACCTCCTGATTTAAGACACAAGTAATCATCAGAATAAAAAGGGCAGATGCATATGCAGTAATAAGCTTCTGCTTTTGTTAAGACTGTTACTTAGCATTTCATATTTAAAACAATATGCAAATACCAAAGGCTAATTGTTGACATTAGTTAAAAAGGGGATGATGCTTTTTCAGCTTCTTCCCAGAGCTTCTGCAGGCTACCATCACTGTGCCATGCCATTTAGGACCAATGCTGTAAGAAAGCATTAAAGTAAATAGTAAGATCTGTTTATTTTTAATCAATGCAAAAGTGTGACTAGAAGCAAGTGTTAGTATTAAAATAGGAAAGATCATCTAAAACAGCTACCATAAATAGCATTTTCTACAGTATTTTAAAAAAAAGTTTAAGCCTGTGAGCAAACAGATCAATTAGTCAAATAGTGAAGTCTTAATATAATAATTTTCTACTTTTCAAAGAACAGACTATGGCCTCTAGATTACTTCCTATTCCGTATCTAAATTGTTACACACAGAGAAATATTCTCATTTAAGAGAATCTATTGTGTAGAAGGGCAGTTCAGCAGCAGAGGAGGCTGCAGACAGCTGGATACTTGGTTCTAGTCCGGCCAAAAGCCCGTTCTGGTACCCGGTCAAGCTGGGATTTGGGTAGAAGCTCAATGCTGAGCACATATTTTTGAGCAGATAGGGTTTCCTACTCCATGTCAGCCTCCATGTTGTCCTCTGCCAAACACATGATCTTTTGCCCAAAGCTTGCAAGACATAACCCTTCGGTCACCGCAAACTGCCAGTTATTATTAAAAGTGCTGCAACTGCACTCGGCTCCTGAGCTCTGGAACAAAACCAGACATTTTTATCATAACAAGAAATGGATATGTCTATACCACGCCAGAGAACCTGCAAAACTGTTGCATGTCTCTGAGTCAACCAACTCAGTCAACAGTGATTGCAGTCTTCAATTCCATTTTAGAAAGTGTGGAGTTACTCAGTCCTGAACCTATGCCAGGCACTGCAACAAACCCAATGCTGCAACAAGCATCAGAGTGGGAGAGCTACACCCCTGTCATCAGCATATGGCAGACAATAACATGAAAAACTGAAGCCAGAGGTGAAGTATGGTTCCAGAATACAGCAGTATCTGAAAAGTCTAAACATAGCGAAAGCGCTGGCTAAAATCTGCCACCAGGATGCTGTCAAGCCATGGGATGTTAAAAGGCATCCAGGTGAGACTTCATGATGCTCATCAAAAGATGGATAGTGAATCAAGAACATCAGCAACCTCAGTATCAGCCAAGATAAAGGCGTCACAACAAATACACACCAAGCTTTTTTTCCTGTGGCCTAATCAAACATTTGATGAAACTTAGAAAACATTTTTCTTTATACTAGTACAGAACTTTTGGTGACAGTCTTTTCAAGACTTCTTGCCTCAGTGGTTACCTGGAAAATTAAAAGGGATTTACAGACTTAGTAAGTTGTAAAGAAGATAGTTCTGCCAATAAAGGAGTAGTAATTAGTATCTTAGAGAAGACAAGGTCTCAGGGATAACTTGAACTGACAGCTACTTATCTTTTTAACTACTCTTTCCATCAGCACTTTGGAAAGGTTATGTCAGTTGTTGCTTTCTGGAAAATTATGTTTTCAAGAAGGCTCTTCCACCACAGAGCATTTGTTGAGATCATAAATACAGTGCAACCATTGAAGAAGTGAACCAAGTGTTCACATTCCCGTACCCTCTGCCTGAGGTAACTAGAGGGAATAACGAGGTCGTCATCTGTGCCTTTCAGCTGTGAAGCACGTTATTTATGAAAAGCTATATATTAAATCCCACCTAATTAACAACGAGGGAGAGTTAACGTCCCAATCATCCTTCCTCAGCCACCCTCTCATTGCTTCACTTTGCCTCCGCAAAATTTGCGGGGCGAGCAACCCATTTGGCGAGAAGACACCGAAGTGCCCGGAGCCGCACCGGCACCGCTCCAGCCCTTCGCTTCCCTCTCCCTCCGCGGGGAAAAGCTGTTTGTCTCCCACACAGCCCCCTCGGGAAGCACCAGCCTCAGAGGGCGAAATGGTCACACAGACCTTCCTCCCCGAGAAGCCCACGGCGGCTTCCCCCTGCCAACAGCAGCCCCCGCCGTGCGCTCGCCGCCGGACGCGGGGCCGGGCGGACCGCACCGCACCGCCGCCCCGCACCGGCCGCCCCCCGCCGCCCGCGGCTGCCTTGGCCACTCGGACCCGCGTCCCCCACTCACTTCTCCCCAGCGCCTCCGCCTTCCACTCCGTCTCCTCCACTGCCCCGTAGCGCCTCATCGGTCTCTCGGCCTCCGCGCTGGCCGAGATGGACCTCCTCAGCTCCATGGCCGGGCCGAGCGGCGCGGGGGCTCCGCAGCTCACTCCATGTCAGCGGGGCTGCGGCCCGACTGCCGCGGAGACGGCGCGGAGCTCACCGCTCCTCTGCGCGGAGCGGGGGCCCGCGGGCGGAGCGCGGGGGGAGCGAGGGGCGCTGCGCACATGCTCAGTGCGGGGCTGGGGCGGGGGGAGGCAGGGAAACAATGCGAGCCATAGCCCCCCGCGGGGGCCGTCACCCGGCACATGCTGCACACACGCCCCGCCCGCCGGGCCCTCCGGGGCGGGTTGGTTCCCTCCCTCCCGCTCGGATGGGCAGACTGACCTCCACAAGGATGGTGCCGTGCAGCTCAGAGCTCCCGGCTAGCTGGTTTCGTCTGCCCATCCCTGCACCTGCGGTGGGCACTCCCATTGCACCGCCGAAGCAAGCGAGGGGACGGGAGGACTGTCCTTCTTGTGGCCAGTGCAGCGCTCAGCGCATCTTCTGGCCTGAGCGGCTGGGGGATAATGGTAAAATCCACAGCCACTTATGGCTGTTGCAGTCTAACACATCTCAGGTTGCTGTGCAGCAGCCTTTGGCTTTCCTAAAGTCCTGCACCGAATGGCATAGCACTCGTTCCAGCATCGTGTCAGCAAAAGCCAAGACAGCACCCAAGCAAGTCATGAGATTTTGTATTTCTATATGTATTTTTCATAAGCATTCATTTTAGCTGCTTATGCAGCCTGCTGGGACTAGAAGAGAAGGAAATGACTATGCAGGAAGCACAAGTGTGGTGATAATTATTGCTGTTATTATTTTTTTCTTTTACTGTAGGGGAGGTTACATGGATAAAATCCCTGAATAGCATTTTACAGACGGCGAGTACCTTTCCTAGTGAAATCCCACTGCACTTTACTGTCTGTGGTATCATTTCTGACACAAAGACAATGAAGCAGGACTTACGCAGGTTGTCCAATGCCCCACAGCAAATCAGGGTTTTAGCCCTCCTTTCCTGATTTGTGAAGAGTCATGGGGTACTGGTAATGCTGAACACGTACTGGGTGCATGAAATCTTTGTTTGTCATCTACCTTTGCTTACAAACTTTGCTTTGCCCTTCAATCACCAACGCTTCAGAAGTACTACCTCTATATTCAGTGATGTACTTACTAATTGGACTGACGCACATTGCTGCCATACTCATGAACAATTTTGTTTGGGGGTGCTTCACATGTTGGAGGAGAGAAAGCCTCCACATTCGTTTTAAAATTTCAACACTGAAAATCACTGTTATCATTTCTTTGCCTTTTCAGAGAATTGGAATTAGCTAACAGATTAAAATGAGTTGGGCAATGTTTTAGAAGGTCTTCAGGGCATTTTGATTTTTCTCTATCATCTGTGCTCCCCAGGGATATGCCATGATTTGAGCACCAGACATGCTGGAAGAGCTCTTGTTGACTGTATGATGCTCCATCCTTGCTGGTTTTGGCCTTTAGAGACAGAGCCCAAACAGAGCTGTGAGTCAAGCGAAAAGCTGGTGGCAGCACTCTGCACAGCTGATTTTGGGTGACAGTGCAGCTGCCTGCTGGGGTGGGCTGGACTGAATCACTTGGAGAAGTGAGGAACACAAATGTGGGAGGAACATAAGAGCCCATCTGGGATCTGGATGAGAGTTGGACTAAGGGAAACAGGCTGATTAGGGAGAAGGGCCAATTTTGGTGGATCTGAGAACTGTTTAGCTTCAATCCATCCCTTCAAGTGTTTTAGATAATTATAATCCAAGTGTATTGTTTAGGAGATGGAGGAATAATCCTAGAAATGGCTGAATATTTAAAGCTTTGCATTTGTTAGTATGAGAGAAAAACACCCACTAGCTAAAAATTTGGATGCACAGAGTTTACTTATGTAAAGCAAAGAATGTGTAAGTGATTTATTTTAACTTGGAAGTTTTCACCTGCCCATTTTCAAGAAGTTACAAAATCCGGTAAGGGCCCAGTCTTGCAGAGTGATAAACATAAGAGCAGGTATGTGGAAGCAGTTCCACTGAGTTCATTTGCGCAGAAGTTTTTACAAGACTGGGGCCTAACTATGTACTAATTATTTTGCCAGTGTTCTAAGATTAGCATTTTTGCTATTGCAACTTTGGAGCATTTTCACTGCTGCATTTGCAAGTGGAATCAATTTTCTGTCCTACTGATGATGTCCTTCTGTGCACCTCAGCAATACATATGCATTCCTTCGCTCACAACAGTTGGTTTTCTTCTGCTGAAAGCACAGGTCTCTTCTCACTGCACATAAGATAATGCCTGCTAGAAAAACAGAGGTTCTCTTGCAATCATTTCCCGTGACTGCTTTAGGTGCCATTTCTCAATTAAGTCCTACCACCAGGAGCTATAGCTGGTCAGCAGCAGCTGGCAAATCCACTCTCCTATCTATTGCTCTTTGGCCTCCATTAGACATCACTGATGTCCCATGGCAGACATGAGACTGTATATAACAGGCACACTTTACTCAGGCAAAATCCCTAGAGACAGCGTGGCTTGTAAATCAGCTGATGAAAAACGGTCTTTGCTTTCATGGAGCTTCTCAAGCATCTTAGATTTCTCAGCTTGAAGTTCTCAGAGCTCTCTTGCCTTTATAGGCACATCTAGTATATCAAAAGAGTTTTCTGAAGCTTCTTTGTGTGTCTGGGGTGGGCTGCAGTGTAGGTAAAGGTCAGGGTCATTGTTCTTTGTCAGACAGTACAGTCATTCTAACCAAAAAAATATCAGAAACTGTTAAATATTCTGCCCAGGTTTTTCATTGCTTTATCATTATAATGAAAACATGCAACTCAGCTGATGAAACAAAATGCAATTAAGTGGATTACGCAGTTATCCTATTTTGTATGCATAAATACCCAGATGCACATCTAGAAGAGACAGAAGGGGCATTGTGCTCATGTAAGCTGACTGCTTGCATAACACAGGTTGTGGGACTCCTACGAATCTGTCCCATAATATTTTTTTTAAACACCAAGTCGTATTTCAGAACATTTCTGTGTTGGAGGAGTTACCATCATTCCTTAATATTTGATGTCATGGTTAATCTTATTTCCTATGAAAAGACTTCCTCTTGAATCTCCATCCCTCAGCTCTTAGGGTTCTCTGTGGCTCCAGATCCTTAGAATTTCCCCAGTTACCCTGGTACCCTGTGCAGCCTCTGACCCTTCATCCCCCAAGCTGTTTCAGGAGCCTGGGGGGTGTCAGCCTCCACATGTTCACATGACTGTGTGCTACAGCCTTTGCCACCTCCAGATCTCACTTACCGGGCATATGCATGGCACAAAAATGTCCTGGCACAGGTGAAAGGCTGTGAGAGACCATTAAAGGAAAATGTCTGTTGGCAAACCTGATACTCAAGTAGGTTTTAGAAAGCACACACTTACCTTCGTGATGCTTCCTCCGCTCCATGATCCTATGCAGCCAGGTTGCTGTGGGATGGAGACGGGGGCCACCATTTCACTAAGGAATCTACACAAGCACTTGACACAATAGGGTTGTCGTAGGGCACCACTCACGTAAATAATCCCTGCAATAATAGGTTTTATCTGTGCTTGAAATTCAGCGAATTCATTACTTTTTCAAGGACCAACTCTGTCCTATGGTGTGAGTACAAATCAGAGTGTCATAACTAAGTACGTGGGTTGTCTGAGGCTGCTGCAGCCATAATCCTCACTACATATTGATGTGCCACATGGCCGGGGTGAGCACTGTGGGTAAACGGACAAAGCTTCACTCAGCACAGTGCTTACCAACAAATGAGGATCTCTGCAGCTCTTGTTATGACCAGTCTATATAGACAGCTTTGCATAGTGGGTGAAAACGGTCTATTAGTGTCCCCAGCTTGTGTCATAACACAGTATGAGCTTGTCTGAGTAAATAGGGCCTTACTGTATCACGAATTTGTGTTATCACAGAAAATCAGGACTGTGTCATTCTAAGTATATTTCTTACATGTTTGTATTATCACTCTCCCTAAAAGACCTGTATTAGGCTAGAGTAAATCTCACTTGTTTTTCAAAAAATCAGAATTAAATACGATCTAATTTTTTAAAAAAAGGGGAATGGGATAGCTAAAAATTACAGGAAGATCCTTGATACAGAAAATACTTTCTTGGTCTAAGCTTCCACATTCAATTTCATGCTAGCATGAAAGAGTTCTCAGAAGCCTGGGTTCTGCCATTCTGCACTTGAAAGAGGATCTGCTGTAGCAGAACCTGTGCAGAATGAAAGCCTGGATTCATAAGCCAATTCACATCCTTATTATATTGGTCCCTTTTTAAAGAATCCTAGCTCATGTTTAGTTAGTGTCTTTTTTATACTTATTTCTTTAGAATTGCAGCCTTTCCATATATTAACCATTCATTTAAAAATATTTTTAGGCTAAAGTAACTTTATAAATAATTCACAATAGGTGCAGTAAAGTAACTAGGTTGGTCCTTTTCCACAGCTGCCCCACATCTCTATCAGGATAGGAAAATGCTTAAAAGCTTAAAAGTGTATTGCAGGCAAGCAAGCCATTCTAAAGCTTGTTAAAAGGCAAATGAGGTGCCTTGAATTTAATGTCATGAGTCTGAGGTATCATAGTGATCCAAGTATTTGAGTGTTTAAGCATTTCTACCCGAACACCTATTGAATGTCATCTTATTCTGATTTTTTTTATTTTTTAATTATGTTTCCATCTGAAATACTGTATGAATATAGTGCTGCTTTCCATGTGTCATTAACTGTTTCATCAAAGATGCACTATTCAACTTACTATTTCTCAAAAGCTGAATTTCTAGTAGAGCTACAGAAGCAAAAGACAAGAATTTAATGGCAACTTTTAGTGAATAGTGTGCCACTAATTATGTGTTAAATATGACATGCTTCACAGTGTCTGGTTTGAATTAATAACTGAAGTACTTGATGTCCCAGAAACTGTTTTTCTAGGGAAATTTTCTATTTTTTAAAATCTCTGCATATTGCTGCTTATGATTTGACTTGTGTGCAATAAATGTTAACTGGCAGCACTGGAGCTACAGCATCTGACTGCCTATCTCCTATCCAAATTTGGAGATCAAGCCTGTGAAGTTGGGTCTGATCTAGCAAATATTTAGATAACTCTAAGAAGGAGGAGTACTTAGTTGCTTTTCTATCTCAAACTAAGGTAGAGCCTTGCAGGACTGAGCTCTCATAACACAGTCCAGGCTGGACATAGCTTGTTAAACATTTGTCCAGTTTAAAATACGGTTTGGGTGAAACTGAACTGATAAATCAATGGCCTATGTTCAGCTATGCCAAGTTTTTAAGTGTCTGTGTTTGACAATTGTGCCTGTGCCTGTACTGAGCCTATTTGCAAACGTTCCTGGGAGGTGAGTAATAGAGACCACTAAAGCTGGCACAGTAGTTTCCACTTACTTAGATTTATCTCAGCTATTTTCAGTATAGAAGGTCAGAAAACACAGCACAAATTCAGGAGATGTAGTAGCAGAAGAGACAGGGCATATATGTCTGGTAGAAAGAATGGAAATAATCTGCACAGACCAATGGCTTTAGTTGTGACCATAGCACTGATTTCAGAAACATACTTCTCTACATTCTTTTCTTTCCTAGTTTATTTTTGTCTTAGTAAACTCTTTCTACATTCACTCTCCTTTTAAGGTACAAATTTTACAGAAAAAGCTGTTATAGCATCTGTCAGATATGTTACTAATACCACAGGTAGTGACGTTGTCCATGTACGAGTCTTATTTTTGGCATTTGGAGCCAACTCCAATGCTATGACTGGACTGGACTGTTGTGCAGGTGACTCAGTATTGTGCAGGTGACTCAGTATTGTGCAGGTGGCTTTTGTATCAGTGATGGGTGGCCATAGCTACATAGAAAAACAGATGTTTGAGTTCAGTAAATTTAGATGTTGAGATAAATTGGTTTGGACCCATTTTAGGAGACTTATAAACACAGCAGACAATAAGTAATATTTCAGTGTGTATGTGGACATGTCCATTTTAAAGTAATAAACATACTGTATAAAATTTGCAAACACAGCAGTGTACATCCCCAAGCACAGCTCTCTTAGGGCCTGAGCCTTTCCTCATTTCACTTAGTCCAAAATGTAAAGGTGACTTTCTGGAAGCCTCCATTGTACCTACACAAGTTTGAATCTTAGACAGAGAGCTCAAAACTGCTTACAAGCTGTGAGGCACACAAAAAGACTGCGTCTTGCTGATGCGTGTTCCTATGCAGCATATGTGCTCCACTACCCTTCCACCCTAACAGCCATGCCCATCGCTTCCATGGAGCATTTTGCTACCTCCTTCACTGGAACTGCAAGCTATAATGTTACAGCCCTGAATTCTGAAAGGGTTTCTTTATGACTTGAATTTCTCTTCAAATTTGGCCTTCAGTGATAAAGAACATGTATTAGACTGTTTTTTCAACTTCTGACCCAAAACAGTAAGCAAAACACTGTACAGGTAGTTGTCATGACCTATCAGGTGTAATTACTACAAACACATAATAATTCATTACTGTATGATGACCATTCTGAGCTGGATGTTGAACTAATGCAGAACCCTTCACTGTCACTGGTGTATCATGGCAAATCAGCTGCAGCTAACAGTCTTGTTACATTTTGGATGTAAAAGCATGTGATGCATGAAACAGAAGTAGCTGAACGCCCTTAGGAGATAAGTAAAAGTGGTTTTTACTTCAGAGAGAGATATAAGGAATGGTAAGATAAGAAAACCACAGGGAACCAGGCTTTGAGAGGTAGATTTTTCCAGACCAGCATAGAACAAAAGAAAGAAAAAGAATAGAGGTGGAAAAACAAGAACTCATCAAAAAACTTTGATCTTGTTTTCTAAATACTTCTGCAATGAGAAGAAAGCTGCTTTCCTGACAAATCAAAGTAATAGTGTGAGGGCTTCTTAACATCCTCCATTATTTGCAATCTTTGGATGCCATTCCAGAAGATAGCATGAGACTCGACATCACCAGTTTGATTCAGGAAAAATTCTTTGCTTTGCATTATGCAAGGATTTAGACCGAATGATCTTTTTTGTCCCTGTTGGCCATGAAGTCTACGACACAGAATTTTTCAACTTGAAACCTCTCCATAAAGCTTCCTCTTCATTGTAAATATACAAGAAATTACAGTAGGGAATGGAGATGGTGTCTGTCTTCCAGTTGTGGAATACATTACACCCTTCAGCCTCAAAGCTTCTGAACATTTTCCTTCCCAGGAGTGTCCCACAAACTACACTGAGTGTAGTCCTTCAACAAGGACCCCATTGCTAACCTCTGTTCCCTTTAACAGTTTGTTGTATTTTTTCCCTGCCTGAATTCTTCAGTTTCTTCTGCAAATTTATTAATTACTTGAACAGATAATTAATCAAAGTTTTACCTCTTTTTAATAAAAGAAATTTCAGTCCACTGGCATCAGCATAAGGGTTTGAAGATGGGAATTCTATTCTGAATTTGTTCAGAAGTGGCAGATGATTTGATGTATGTAACTAGCCTTTAAAGACAGTGAACAATCCCTGCTTATGTTTTACTCTGCTGTTGTGTTAACGTCTACACCATCAGATTGAGGTTTTTGATGTATATGGTCCATGAATATCCCATAAGAACTTTGTGTAAGACCTAGCTTTGTTTATACACACACTAGTTAAAGACAGAGCCAAAGAACATCATTTAATGTTTATTAAGCCTTTGCAAAAACACAGACATTTTTCAGTCAACTTAAAATTCATTATTTTAGTCAAATTCAAGTATTTCATGCACATCTCACTGGATTGGCACTAGCAGTAGAGGCAACAGCAAGAGCAGAAAGCATTGGCACTTAGAGCAGAGAATCGGAAGGCTGAAGCTGCATAGATTTCACAGGTTGTGCTATACAGAGAACTTATCAGATATGGTAACAAGCTACAGGCAGTTTTACCCTCACTGCAGTATGAAACTGGTTATTTTATGCTGTGTTACTGGATGGCTGTTTCTGGTGTGAAAAAGACAGAGGCCTTCTGGTGAATTTTCCAAGCCTAGAAGGATGTATTTCACATACCAGTAAGCACAGGAGGTACATTTGCATAAAAGATTTGCAGTAGAAAAATACATATTTTATCAAATTCAGACTCTACATCTCCACAGCTATCCAGAATAACATGAAGGTGGAACTGCACCCGATATAAATGTCTTCTCATTCCATTTGGTCTTAAAGAGGACCCATGACACAAAATGTCACCTGAATGCAGGCCTAGTAGCTACTGGCAGTGTGTTCCCTCCTTCCTGAGCACCTACGGGAATGTATAGTTCTGTTCATCTTTCTGGTTATGGAAATCTGTATGTTCAGCTGGCAGTAAGATCAGTGCAATTCCTTGAAATAGACATAAAGCCCATACAACTGTTTTTGAAAGGGTGGTGGAGAGACATCTTTTTTTCTTCTTCAGAAACTACTGCATTAGTAGAAGAAGCAAACAAAAGTTTATATATGTGTCAAATAGATTTGGACTAGATGACCTGGGCTGGACATCCAGAAGTCCTTTCCAACCTCAACCATTCTGTTATTCTATGAAATTTATCTTCTAAGCCAAAACACTGTTAAGAAATAATAAAGTCTTTAACAAATAAGGGGTTAGTTAGGTCTTAGGTCCTCAGACTAAATTGGCTGAGGCAGAAAATCTTTGAAAGGTGCATTAATTTATGTACACTGAGAATTTGTCCCATCACAGCTTCATTGTTTTGTATTATGTGGATCTGAAATATTATAAGACCAATCAGTGCTTGTAATTAAAAGAAAAAAAAAACACCACAATTTTTTAATATGAAAAAGGACTTGGGTTACTTAACTGTCAGGTACCTTAACATGAGAAACAGAGGAAGTAAAATGATTATGCAGAATCTAACATTTACTGAAATACAGGAGTTACAGGCTTACATGAAAGAACTGTACTTCAAGTAATAGAAATATGAAGAGAGACCCTGAAGCCCACAGTCGGAGAAACCTGAAGACAAAGCAGGATCTAGCTCAAATTCCCAAGCAAAAAGGCAGCAGCACAAAAGCATACAGCAATAAAGCACAGCTTGTATAAGCTTTTAAGCCGTTTAAAATAGAAGACGGATCTTCCATTCACTGAATACTCCTGCTGAAGAAAAGCATCAGCATTAAAAAGATCATGAGAATAATTTTAAATTCTTGAGTCACCTGGGTATTAAGTTTTGCCAACTATACCCATGCAGAAATATTTTTTGCACTGAGTTGCTGCAGAACATCACATACTGCTTACAGCAAACCAACACCATTTCACTATTTTACTCTCCTTACAATGTAAGTATTTTCTAGTTCCCTTCTCCAAGTGAATTCTATTAATCATTAAACACTTAAGGCACAAGCAGAAATAAAAATAAATAGCATCTGTAAAAAAAAAGTCAAATCTTAATTAGCACATCTTGTCTGAAACTTTCAAGTCTCACTGAATAGAACAGACTTTAAAACACTATCTGATCCTAAAAATATCAACAGAAAAAACACTACTGAAATTGCTCTCTTTATCCTGAGGACTTTATACGCACAGTAACAGCTTAACAGCTATAGCTGCCTGAACATCTATTCACTCACATTTCATTTTTTAAATAGATAGATAAAATCCAGTTAGTTTCTCTGTAGATTTCTACTCCTACTGGGTCCAGCATTAGGACCTCCCAATTCACACTGTGGGATTCAAGCAGCAACACCCACTAAATTGCTCCCATAGGGACATGTAAGAGAGACACCAACCAGGGGAAATCAGCTCACAAATATGAGCATCTATAATGAAGCTATCTACACAGCAGCCAGTCACCTGGGACTCTTATTGATGAAAAGAAATAGACACAATACACAATTCACCATACCCTAAAACAGATGTCTAAAGCTGCCTATTTAACTCCACTAACTGTAAACAGAGCTTAAACTGATTGGTCAAGTTGCAGATGTCCACACTGCAGGTGTCGAAAGTCAATTAAAATTAATTCCACCTTAAGATTGTAGGCAGGTGTCCTCTTCCAGGTCTGGCCTGTGCAGCTGAAGATGGAATTGCAGTGACTTGGCTATCCCGAGAGGGAAGCGACCTTTTCCACCTGCCTGCCAGCAAAACAGACTGTAGAAGCAGCCCCCCTGCCATCTACCCTCCTCCCATCTGCTGCAGTCCTGTGGACAAAGCCATAGAGGTACCTTACATCACTCTTGACCACTGGCTTATGCCAGTTGCTGTTACCTGGAATAGATTGGGCAGTGCTTGCATGGTCCCTTTCCCTGTCTAAGCTAAGCAGCATTGGACTCCCACAGTGACAAATAATTGTAAGCAATATATTAAGTAGTACAGCTGCCAGCCAAAGGAATGTATGTTTATAGCCTAAGCAGGCTTTGGTTTGCTGTTTGGATAAGACTGAGGAATTCAGACTTCCTCAAAGCAGTTTATTATTATTGTAACAGAGGGGATTGAGTCTTCTCTTTACAACCATCATCAAGATGGGTTAGATCAGGTATTGTTTCAAGCGTACAATTTAGTAACTTCAAGGCATAAAATCCCATTCTAATAAACCAAGGGCTCCTTTACTAGTCTGATTTCAACTTACTGCGATCACAGAAGTTTGCGCAGTTCCTGTTCCGAGATACATATGCACATTTAAAAAATGCTGATGTGCACACCTGCATCCAGACCTGATCCTTAAGTTGACAACGCAGATCTATAATTAATTTTCACCTTTTTGTAGTCTCTGATGTGTAGATATCCGTCATCTTTTATAAACAGGAATGTTTAAAAGCCATTTGAAGAAGAAATTGAAGTTTCTTATATATAGCTGGATTGTTTCAAGATGGATTCTGGGATTCACGTTATCTTCCTTTCCATGCTCTTTTTCTTCAAAATCTTAATTATGTCTTGAACATAATGAAACAGTAGAAAAGAGTGAAGGTGTCAAGATTCCTATGTACTTTTCAATACTTTGACTGTTGAGGGGCAAAGGAAGAAGTTGTTGACAGATACAGCAAAAGCTCCCTGTAGTGGTTAGTTCGGTTCCATCATGCAGGGGATGTTTATGACTGGTCCTTCCCCTAAGTGTGAATATGCAGCATCCACCCCAAAGAACTCTGACCAAAGTTAGTTATCTTTACTGTCCCAGTTAAGATAAAAGCTTAAATATATTTATTTCAGGTTTGTGCATTCTATGAAATAATTCATTTGCTATATAGATTTTCATATAGAATAAAGCAAGTTTCCCTAATAGAGAACTGGTCCCCACAAGCATAGCACTTTTGTTTTCTCTGACTAAAACAGATTCAATGCCACTTTTTAGATAAGAAAGTCATTACATTTTGTTCTGCAAAAGCAATCTTGCACTGATAACAATTTTCAAGTCCAACAACTGATGATTTAATGTTCTATTCCCCTTTTTGTAGCAATTAGAAGTTGCTTGAAAATTACAGTCTAGTTAAAGTTTCTCCCCAGTGAGGCGGTCTGACATGATGTGCAAATGCTTACACTGCCCTGTAAGTCAGTTGTTCCCAGAAGAGATGGGCTGGCAGCATGAAAATAATTAAATGCCAATATACAGTTGGCCTCATTTATGAAAAATAAACAGGCACAAAAGACAAACTGTTCCACTGCTTACACTAACCAACAAATGTTGAGATGACTGTTTATTCTAAACACAGCAATAAGGCTGGAGGGTACTTTACTGACTTTCATAAATTCAGTTTAACAATTTAGAATGTATTGAGAACTAAAGTTCTTATTTCTCTGATGATTCTTCATCTGTATTGGCCTTCTCTCTTTGGAGCCACATAAATGCTGACTTTGCTGTGCCATCTCCACTCTGTTGGGAAAAGCAAATGAAGGTAGCCCAGACAAAGCCACAGAGCCCAGTGTAAGCTGTTCGCAGGTAAACAGGGACCAAAATGAAGTTTGACAGCTGTGTTGGAAGGAGAGAGAGCTCAGTTAGTGCTCCAGGCATTGTTAGGTCTTACACCTACACACCCAGCAACTCCACTGACTTCTTACTGGGTCAGATATACTATGAATGCATCGGATCAGGCTTTATGAGAAAGAAAGGCTCACTGAGCTACCCCAAAAACTCACCTGCACAAAAGGCCAGTACATCAGTCCCGTCTGAAATGAAAATGAATCATTTGTTATTCTTACAGACTTCAACTACAAAGATTTATTTTTTCCTTACCACATTTAGTGCAGACTAAAACATATCTGAGTAAAGGTCATAAAAGCTGTTCAAATGTAAATTAAGTTGCTTAACTGACAGACTGCAATATTAAACTTCTAATAATTTTCATGACCATCTACGCTAGGAGTTTCTCAAACACATTATTCTAAGTCATTTTTAATCCAAAACTCTAAGCACAGTTAAGTGCTTCATAGTCACCTGACAGCAGATCTGTAACCACATTTACCAGATGGGTGAACAAATGTTTTAATATATGAACATTTGTTTCAGCCATGAATGAAAAATACCACCGAATACTATTTATTTCACAGTTGCAATGCTCCTTCTAGTTAAGGCTTTTTTGCAAAAATCAATGGATAATTTACTCATAGATCATAAGGTCAATAGAAACCTTATGTTTTGATAGGATATAGTGGGCACTGTTTTTAGAATCATCCTCCATAGGAATAAAAATAATCCTTTTCTATCCTACCTAGGTAGTTCCACCGTGTGAAAAGAAACTCACATTATATCACAGTTTCTCCTTCTATTATATTTTTTCTGCTGTCTTTCTTCTTGTGCCTGAGAAATCTTTAAAATTCTTAATTTGCTTAGCTCTGAGGTAGCACTGATAATTTTTCCTGTGTATGTAGAAATGCAGACCAAACCCAGTTATTTATAGTCTTCTTAAAACAAGGGACTGTGTTTCTGAAAGTGAGAAGACTGTCACTGAAAAGCACAGGCTGAAAATAATTCCTAAAAAAGATGTCTCTATAACTAATGATTTTTACAGGTGTTCATGTAAATGTTGTCAACAGCATTACTAACTAAAGATTGGTGTGTGGGTACTTCCTAAGATAAAATGTAGGACAATTTTAATCAGCCTTGTATTGTAGGGCTTTCATTTAGAGCCGGGTGCAAGTGTAACGTATATAAACATTGTACATTTTTAAAATAGCATCATTTCACCCATCCGGCAGCAGTGCCTGCTGCAGACTACCCTGACTTCAGGTCACTGCTGGTACTTCAAGATTCCTTCCTACACATAATCAATTGATGATTTGAGAGAAAGACTGTTGGAGGAAAGAATATTTCAAATATTTTATCGAATTATATTTTTTTTGGCTTAGCTGGGACATAAGCAAATTGTTTGCCTCACCTTGTAGGTATTCCAGAATTTCTTTTTACAGTCTGAAAAGATGTCCTCTTTCCTCTGAAGGATGCTCATTCCTAGTGGCAAAATATTCACAACAATCAGAAAAACTACAAAAATTAAATGTTCACTTCTTTGAATGATCTCCCAAACTACTCTCAAAATATATTACAACAGCTTTGAAATAAAAGCTGGTATCATTACAAAGAAAAAAATACCATTCCAGCTACGTAATAGTGCTACTTGTTTAACCCTTCATATCCAGTGTTCCAAAATTTTAAATTCTAGTTGATCCAAACTCCTCGATTCTAGGAAAACACAACCTCACAACAGGCTCCCATCATTACACCCAAGATCAAGAGAAAAGTGGTACGACTTGAAATTACATTGGATGCATGCAAACTGGAAATAGATTAAGTGAATGAATCCCCATCACATGAAATACCGCAAAGAGTTCAAAATAATAAACCCTTTAAATGGTATTTCATGTGATGAGAATCTTCAGGTGTCAAATTAAGACTACATCTGTCTAAGAGATGTAGCAGATCTTCAAAGATTACCCACCTTAACTGGAAGATGTGACCTAAATTAATTATTAAGGTATTAAACAGCATGCTTTAATGAATCAACCTAAAATCAAAAGCTACACATTCGCACATAAGCAGAGGCCCAAAGTTGCTTAGTCCAACTCAGGTATCCTTCTAGATATTTGCATGCCACGAGGTTATCAGCATCTCTGAATGGATACATTATTTTGCTATTACATCATACTGCTGCCCAACTCAGGGATTTTTGCCATCCCATTTGTGCTTCTTCAAATCTTTCTGGTCCTTGGGCAATTCTCTGCTTACATTCTGACACGAGCAGATAGGATTCTGAGAGTAACTATCTGCCGTGGTTTACTCCAGCCAGCATCCAGGACCACACAGCCCCTCCGAGAGGGGTTCCTCCCACAGACCAGCCAAGGGAGACAGACAGCTGTTTAATGCCCTCCCTCTCCACAGCAGCTGTACCAAAACCACGACAATGTCTGATGTCTGCTTTCTGCCTTTGCTTCATTTCTCTTCAATCACAAACTGAATTTCCCCGGCAGGGTCATAAAATGCAGATCTCCCAATACCAGGCAAAAAGAGTGCCTCTCTTGCTATTCTTCCACATGAAGTTTAAATTAAATGACAGCCTTGTTTTACACTGGTCTCACCTATTATTTTTCTTACTCCATCATGTTTATTTTTAAAATAGATACTATTCTTCTCTAAAGTCTCTTATTATTAGTTAGCTTTTGAGATTTGAGATTATATATTAGTGGTATGCTGTATTTCTACATGCTCTCACAGCAGATGATGGTAGAGATTATATATTAGTAGTATGTTGTATTTCTCTATGCTCTCACAGCAGATGATGGTACAGCTTATTTGCTGAACTATAATATTTCCTGACATTTACAGTTCCTGGTGGTTTGGAACAGAGACAGCTGATGCTGAGAACTGAGCAGGGCAATCCAAGCAGGCGTGCATGGTACAACCCTTGTAAGGTGCTCTGAATTCCTTGCAACTAATTAAAAGCCACGGGCCCAAGCGAGCCCGCGGCCGGACCCCACACTGGCACAGCACCCCTCCCTGCGCTGAAGCTCTGAAGCGCCCCGGGGGGCACAGGGCCGGCGGCCGGGCTCCCCACCGCCACTCTCGGGGACAGAGCGCGGCGCTGGCAGGTCCCCAGCCGCCTCCCCGCCTCCCAGCGCAGCTCTACCGGCGTTTCGGGGGCTGCGGGAGCCGGCCCGCAGCGATCGCCGGGCGGGCAGGGGGGTACCCAACCACCCCCTCCTATTTGGGGTGACAAGTCCCGCTTTCGGTGCGCACCCTCCGGGCCCGCACCCATCGTGCGCGCACCGGGGCTCTCCCATCGGCTCCCCCGGCCCGCCGCCCCGCGATGGCGGTGCCTGGGCGGGGGGCACTCACCCACCCGTGTAGAAGGCCAGGACGGCGACGGGGGCGCCGAAGAGCTGGTCGCAGAGCACCTTGCCGAGGACGGCGGGCGGGCGGCGGCCGGGCAGCGCCCGCTCCAGCGCCCGCAGCCAGACGTAGCTGAAGTTGCCGTGGAAGGTGAGGGCCACCAGCGCTACGCGCCGCGTCTGCGCCCAGTCGGGCGGCTGCCCCCGCCGCCGCCGCCGCCACAGCTGCTGGGCCGCGTCCCCCGCCGCGAAGAGCCCCCCGTAGAGCAGCACGTTGGAGAGCCAGGGGAAGCGGCGCACCCCGCTGCGCAGCAGCGACCCGGCCATCGCCCGCCGCCTCTTCCGCCCGCCTCCTCCTCATCCTCCTCCTCCTCATCCTCCTCCTCCTCGCGGGCCCGCCCGCCGCCGCCGCCGCCCTCGCCATCCCCGCTCAGGGCTACCCCGCCCGGGGTGCCACCTCCGCCGGGCCTGCGGCTGGCAGGGAATGCCGGCACCCCCCGCCGTGCCCCGTGCTCGGCCTCCCCGGTCTCCGGTGGGCGCGCCCGGGCTTCGGTTCGTGGGGTTATTTTTCACGTGACCGAGCGTTCACTCGGAAGAAGGGGGTCACTGCGGCTCCCGGGCTTCGGTGTAGGTGCACCGCGGAGGCACTGCGCAGTGTTGCTGCGGCAATTAAGACACAAGTGAAAACTAGGCAAGGTTTGCTTATTGTCTTTTTAATTATCTCCTTGTTGCTTCCGTACATGAGCGCTCTATGGCTGCTTCTTTTCACTTTTGCTGTTGTTTTGCAGTCAGGTTCCTGGTGCCCACCTGCGGTTCCTCCTTTACCCCCTGCTAGGGAGGCAGTTCGAGGAGAGCGCCCCAAATGATGCGCGTTTAGTGAAGAGACCCGTACCCAGCTTCGTGCACACCCAGCCACCGCCACCAGCGGGCCTGCAGGCCGTGTAGCCCGCGTACGGCGCGGGGGGCTGTTCCCTGCGCGGCTGCCCGCGGCCGTGGGAGGCGACGGGCGCACCCGGGAGCGTCCCCGCCGTCCTGGCGACGGGCTCGGGCTTGACCGAGGGAACCACCCCCAGGCGGCGGGTGGTAGTTCACTCTGGGTCCTGTCAGTAACCGGGATGGATGCGTTAGAAACGATGGTGAAACCTTCCAGGGATGGCTACGACCCGCGTACCCAGCTTTGTGCACACCCAGCCACCGCCACCAGCGGGCCTGCAGGCCGTGTAGCCCGCGTACGGCGCGGGGGGCTGTTCCCTGCGCGGCTGCCCGCGGCCGTGGGAGGCGACGGGCGCACCCGGGAGCGTCCCCGCCGTCCTGGCGACGGGCTCGGGCTTGACCGAGGGAACCACCCCCAGGCGGCGGGTGGTAGTTCACTCTGGGTCCTGTCAGTAACCGGGATGGATGCGTTAGAAACGATGGTGAAACCTTCCAGGGATGGCTAGGAATAGGCACGGTCGGGCCGTGGATGGGAACGGCGCAATAGCAGAGCAGGGGGAGCTGCCGAGCGCCGGGGACACGCCGGGGCAGGGCCCAGGTGGTGTCCTTGTCCCGCGAAAAGCAGCACGGCAATGACACCTGCAAGGTGTGCTATTAAATAATATAAATGGCGCTAAACGGAAAAGGAGTATGTGCTAAAAAAAAAAATATCTATCTTGAAAGAACAGAAACAAAGCTCTGGAAAGCGGGGTTTGGCTCCCGGGGACCGCCTGTCCGACGGGAGCCCGCAGCCTCGCCGCCCCGGCCATCTCCCGGTGCTGTCCGCCGCGGGAGGCGGCGCTGGGCCCGGCGGGGCAGGGCGGCCCGCTGCCCGGGAGGGGTGTCGCTCCCTCCCCCCGCCCCGAGCCTGGAGGTAGCCCGCTCTTCAGGGCCGTGCCGCGGGACCGGCAGGCGGAGGAAGGGTTTTGGTGCCCCCCTAACAAGCCGCGTCGGCCGAGCTGAGGACAGCGGGGTGGCAGCGGAGCGGTCTGCGGAGCCTGGGGCCACGCAGAGCCCTCTCGGGTACCGGGCCGCCGGGGGGATTCCGGGCGGGCGCGGGGCGGGCCCGCCGCCGTTCCCTAGGTGAGCGCGTGCCCGCCCCTCCCGCCGCGGCCTCGTCAGCGCTGCCAGCGTGGAGCCGGCCGCGGCTGAGGCGGAAGTGCCCGGCGGGGAGGCGGCGCGCCCCGGGGATCCCGCCGGCTATGGACGCCTCTCTGGAGAAGGTCTGTGGGGTGCAGCGGTGTGCCGGGCCGGCGGGGGAGGGCGCCGGGGCACCTGCGGGCGGGAGGGGCCCTGAGGGGGTTGAGCGGGCCCCGGCGGTCGCGTCGCTGACGGGGCCGAGGGGAGGGGGCGAGGTCAGCGGCGGGCCGGGGCTCGGTGCGGCGCTTCCCCGGCGCCTCGGCCGCGGCGGTGTGGCGGCTCCGCCGGGGCTGCCGGCCCGTCTCCGCCCAGAGGGGCTGTGCCGCACGGCCGGGGACAACTTTGCCTCACGGAGCCTTGAGTCACCGGGGCAGCCCACGGGCCTGACCCCGCCCGCGCCCCCCGCGCGAACGGCTCTATGGCTGCTGCCCGCATCCCTGAGGAGTCTGAATAACTCTCCGGAAATGCTGTAGGAACGGATTCCTATGTTGTTGTTTTCCTAAAAAGATGGAGCTTGTTTCCTGGGGATGTTAGCCTTCAGCAGGGTACTAGAGAAAATATTACTTGGCTCTTTTTTTTTTTTTTTTCCATTTTATGCTGGAGGTGTTTGCTGCCCCGTGTTTGTGCTCGTCTGCCCAATGTACTGTACAAAGCAAATATTGACTCTCTACTACAATAAGTGACTGATAAAACTTATTTTGTCCTTGTCACTGTGAGTCAGTCAGAATCTGGCAGAGTAACCTGGGACCTGCCACACTTCTGCTGGCTTTGGTGGCACCTGCTGTGCTTCAGGAGATCTGCCCCAGACGTGAGGGTGGAATGGCTGCTTATACATAGATATCACCATTGTTGTATGGCTTCGTGGACGGTATACGTTTGAAATAATTTATACTTCACGTGCTTAGGAGATGTTAATGCATCCTTCCCCTTTGCATCATTTACTATAGGTAGCACGTTCACTTTTATGTGGCCTTTAGATGTCTAGAGAAGTTTGAATGGTATGTGCTCTAGTAAAATGGATAGTAAGGGAATTCAGGAAGTATTTGATGTGGTTAATGAGTTGGTAGCAAAATGGTTTGATATATTACAATCCGCAGGAAGAATACAGTGTAGGAGTATTTGGTAGCCTTTAAAAGCTTCTTTACTGGGGCTGACAAAAGTTACAGTGACTACTGCTTGTTTGATATATAGATATATAGATATATACAGTTGTATGTCCAATATGCTAGTTTGGAATGTGGTCTTTATCATCTAGACTCAAGCATAATAAAGGTACAATATGCAGTTATTTAAAGGCAGCACATCAGTACAGGGCCAGTGTTTGTCCTGTAGTACTGACAGAGTCCTTATAAACTTTGTTAGACTAGGTCATCATAAGAAGGAATAAAAATACTGTGTAAGAATTAAATACCTAAATTTATTATCACAACAAGAGGCCATGTTTTGGTTATTTGTATTCTTGATGTAAGGAATAGTCTATAATGGTGAGGGCCCTGCAAAAACATGCATGTCAGATGTATGCAAATAAGTGTGTATAAAGTGCTGTCATTTGTTTTACTTCCTCTCTTGTGTATCATGGCATTTTTTCCCTATGTATGATAAAAGATGTAGTCCTCTGGATAATAACATGCTACAAGACAATTATTTTCTTCTAGCCACTTAGTACTTAGTGCCCTCCTGAAATACTTTTTGGTTCAGATTGCTGTAAATCTGTACAATCTGCACTTTGTCTAGTCTTGAACATGATGTATAAGTCTTCTCCCTGAATAAATTTGAAATTCATCCAAGCTGGAATATGTGTATCCTCAGAGAATGTGTGTCCACTCACCTTGCACTTATTTAAGTATTGTCATAACACTTCTGAGGCTGTCTTTGATTTGAGTCATGGATTCTCTCCTCCTTATGTACTTCCATATGTAGCTTATTGGGATGTCAGTGATAAATATTTTTTAACTTGTATTAAATTTTGTCAAAATTTTGTATCTTTCATAACAAAGCATTTTTGTAGACTTGCCTAATTAACATGGTGACATTGAATGACTGCAGGTTATTACAAATGGAAAAAGATTTATTTTTTTTTTTAGCAGATGAGAAAATTCCTGAGAATAGAAAACATTGCATGATAGGATTGTGAGGAAAACTGTAGAATCTGACACACAGGTGTGCGCAGCAACAATCTCATAGTTTGATTTTGCAAATTATCTTTGTTTTATCAGACAAACTTTTTGGGGTTTTTTATGTATTAATATTGTGTGTCATAGGTGGTACAATTAGAATGAATTTTATTTGAAATCAAGAAAACTTTTTTTGAGTGAACTTCAAATTTAAGTTCTTCTGGAAGCCTGTACTAAATTTCAGAAGTTTGGCTAACAGATCTATGATATTATTTTTTTTCCTCTATCTATATTTTGATAGAAGAGGCCTGTCTTCTGAAGAATTTTAACATTTTAAGTTTCAAGTTAAGCAACTTTGGTAAAATAGGGCAACTTCTTTCCTTGTAACTTCTTGCAGCCTCTGCAGCAGTGTTTTCCCTAAACATGAACTGTTTTGGTTTCTTGCTCAGTCTGTAACTTTCCTCTTTTGTTACTGTGTTAATTAGCACAACGTTCTGGTATCTTTATGGAAAACTGAACTGGTGACAGCAGACCTGCATGCAAATCCTGCTGCATGTCGGGGAAGTGATAAAGATTAAAAGAGCAAATAGCTATAAGCAGAAGCCAGGTGGAGATACAGCAGGCTCTCATTCAAGCCTAACAGTCATGAACTGGCTGCTTTTTTATTTGTTATCTAAAACTTTTCTTAGCCTGGAGAATAAATACACTATTCTTTTGGCTGAAGAATACTGATATTGTTTGAGATTAATTTACTGTTGAGAACGGGTTTTGGTTTTTGACGATAAAACTTTCTTCTAGACAAATATAATAATGTAGTGGGAAAATGAGGCGTACTTCTCATGAAATACGTAATGAGCTACATCTGTGCATTTCTTTGCACATACACTAATTTATGTAGACTGTTTAAAAACTGTCCCTTTCTTACATTAGGAGTACAGTCTACAGAAATGCAAAATCAAGATTGTAAAATGCTGGTATATGAAGCAACGCTCTCCTTTTTAAATTTATAATTAACGTTCAGTCTTGTTTCAATTGGAGAATGGCCCCTTATCCTTCCCCAGGTGCCAAGTGACACCAGGGTGTGACATACTGCCTATAAAACATGAAAGAGTTTACAGTTCAAAGTGCTTTAAAAATAGTAACAGATAAGTTACAAAATAGGGGAGTAACCACAAATCAAACTTACTGGAAGTTAAACTTTGTGAATTGGATTAACAGGTTTTGAAGGCAACAAACAGTAGATGTCAAAGTAGGGCAGTGAATGTCTACCTGACATTCTGAGTCTGCTGAGTCTTTGAAGGGCCTAGGGAGGCAGGAGGTGTCAGGGTGCTGAATGGACGTCTTGAAGGAAGAAGCTGTGGCTCCTTAGAGCTTGGACATTGCATGTCTTGTAACTCATCTGGTGAAAGGATCACCTGTGACCAGGGTCAGGCCCAGGGGAAGGACTGAGTGCAGGAACTAAGGCTAATACAGTATTTACGGGAGCTGTTCTAACCCCTCAAAAAACATGTTGTCCTATGGTTCAGGAGGTAGTGTTCAAGAGCTCATCCACCAGTCTTTTTAAAAACAGTTCAAGAACATGAAAAAAGTATTGTATTGATTGGATTTTATACACGCTTTATCTCATTTACAGATAAAACTAAAGCAACGTACAACTTTATTATGGCATGTTATTATAGCGTGTTCAGAAACCTTGCTTAACTGAATGGTTTGTTGCTGCAGCTTTGCCACACCTCTCTTTTTTGCTGCTTAAAATAAGTAGATAGTCTTGTGCTTCCCACCTCCATGCCCTTACTAATGTGAGCAGAGGAGGAAGCATATATAAAATTCAGCATGCAGCAGTAAAAGGGGTATTTTTGCTTCTCATAATTCAAAGGAGAAAATAAGTTGCTGCGTATCTACTTAGCAATTGGAAAAAAACAGAAGGAATTCATTTCCCAGTTAAACCTACATCAGAATTCAAAGACTTTCTGGATTGCATAGCATTTTATGGAGCTCAGTGTAACTTAGGACTTTTAAAACAGTATTTTATATATTTATTCTGTTGGCTTATTGGCAGAAGGGTTTCATGCACGTGTAATTACTAGTAAGTGAGACTGGATGAGTCACAAGGTAAGCATGTGCAGGTTTTAACATGTGATGTAATTTCAGCAGGTGAATTCTGTGATACTAACAAAGAAAAGCAGCTCAGGTCCCTTTTTATAACGCCTCTCCGTCTTGTGTCCTCATCTACAAGGGATCTGTTTGAATATTTGCACGTGGTGCTGAGGATTGTTCAAGCAAATAACTGCCTTCCAGCCACTGATCGTGTTTTATGGCAACCTGAATTAAAGTATGTGAGATAGTCACAATCAGTAAATTATGTCTAGTCAATTACTCCCTTAAAGGCTACCAGGAGCAAAACTGATATCTTTTATTTTTTATTACGTAAGATTTCTTTTCAGAGTTTCTTTGATGTGGTGCAAGTCTGGAAACCACTGAAAATGTATGGAAATGTTGCTAATGGTCATATTTAGATTTTTCTTCCAACTATATATACTGTATTCTGAGTATCAAATGCTCACAGTGTGTGTATTTTTTTAAATCTCTGTGATGAGGTCTTGAACATTCTGTATTTGTACTGCTTTTTCATTCAGTGCTTCATTAAGTCATGGCCCTCATAGCCAGGGGATGTTGTAGAAACCAGAAATGTATAAACCCATTTATTGCTAAATGTTGCGAGTTCTTGTAGGGAAAAATATTACTGAATACTTGCACTGTTCTTTTGTTCTTCCCCCAAACATTTGTTACTGGCCACTTCTAAAGCAACAGAATAGAGAGAGCTCTCAATCTTGGTTTGATCCAGTGTGACCATCCCTGGCTACTGGTTCTTTCAGCCACCTACCACTTGCTATAATATGAGTTAAATCTCTAAATATTTTGGTAAAAATAGCTTTTGAACATATGGTAACTCTCAACTTAATTTTTCTTTTTCTTTCCTTAATCAGTCCTCTGGATGAAAATAGTGTAAAATCCTCATGTAAATTAATCCCTCTACCTTCTGTGATTAAATTTGCTTCTGTGTCTGCATCTGCATGAGCAAATATATTTGCCTGTGTTGCACGTGTTTCCATCAGCCGGGATGGAAGGAGCAAGCAGGCCTTTCTCAAATGCTGTAGCAGACAAGCTATTATATCCCTGCAGCATCGATAGTGTAAGTTTAAATATCAAATTGGGTTTGGATTTTTTTATTCTTTAAACAACCACCCCCCACACCTTAATACCCCCCCCCAGGCCTTAGCAGCAATTAGCAGTTGATGTTGAGTTTATGGAGGCTGTGCTTGCTGTACAGTTGGGAAGCAAAAGAAGGGAGAAGAGACTCCGTAACAGGGTCACCTGAGTGTCTTGGGGGTTTCTTTGGTGTCTATTGGGATGGCTCTTATCAGTGGTGTTACTTTCTACCTTCATATTGGGATATATTTATTTTTCAAATACAGTTGAATATCGATCACTGTAGGTAAATCAGACTTTGCCAGGTGATACCTGTCATATACTCTGGAAGCTTCTAGGTGACATCTAATCCTTAAATGGGTGAATGTTCCTGTCCAGGTCTCATGTGTCAGTGTCACAAGCTTTTGCCAGGCTTCTTGGGTTAAAGAGACTTCTTCAAAGCAAAAGCAGTTCTTTGGAAAATATTGCTTATTCATATTTGAACTTGTCACTGGTTGAGGGGAGATAAGTTCAATGATTTTTAAAGCTCTTCCATCCTGACAGGCACATTAACAAGTATCTACTGTTACCTGGTTTCAGTGGTGAGATCAGGTTTTTTGACCTGTTTTGTGCAGCTGGAGGCCTGCCGCTGCAGGAAGATAAGCCTTTTCTGCACCTCAGTCTCTCTTAAGCTGCCCACTGCAGGTCAGCTTCACTCTCTTGTCTAGTTAAAGGGCATCTCAGCAACAAGTTAAGATTAAAAATTGGTTTAAAGGTATTAGAAATAGGAAAAAAATAGATTTACAAGAGTATTTGAATTAGATTTTTTTTTTCTCATCTGTTTTGAAAACTACTGTTGTAAAAGTTTGACAGGGAAACTCGAACAGGGAAGTGGCAGGGAAAACTGATGTTTTATTTCTGTCTTAGCCAGAGCAGTCTTAAATGATATCTTCTTGTGTTTCCTAGGTAAGAAGTGGTGGCTTTTTTAAGCTTTTCTAGGGATTATTATTTGAACACGCTTTAATATCTATTAGTTGAACTGGCAATCTAAAATATATTAAAAAATAAATTAATGAACTGACAATTTATTCAAATTTCCCCCCTGAATTTGCCTCAAAATGCTAAATGGCCTAAAACCTGCCGTGGTCAAATTTTTCAGTGCTTAGCTTTCCAGGATATTCAACATATTGTTATTTCTAAATGAGTACACACAGACTAATTAAAAAAATCTGGCTGATAAATGAATTAGTATTGAGGATGTTGTGGGGACAGTAGTAAGATAAATGTTTTTTGGTCTTTTCTTAAAAATTGTTATCTCTTCTCTGAAAGATGGTGGACCCTACTCTAGCAGAAATGGGAAAGAATCTGAATGAAGCAATGAAGATGCTAGAAGACAATCAAAGGTACGTTCAAACTGTTTGTGCTAAGGGGAGGATTATTAATGCTGCTGCCATTAAGCAGGGAATAACTCATTTTCCTAGTAGTTTACAGTTACATTGTCATTCTGAAGCTTACACCTATACAAATCACTACTGTTTCTCAAATGATAGGATTTTTAAAATAAACATACATATTTTTATGCATGTTCGGTTCAGAGCAAGTCCAGTGAGTCTGTTTTTTTCAGACACTAGATTTCTTATTGCTGTGCAAGTAACTTTTAATTCATATATACATATATATATATATATATATATATATATATATGAGACTCTTCTGTAAGTTGACATTTTCAATTAAAGAACTAAAACCCCAAAACTTTGGAATTCTTTAATTCAGTCTGAGCTAAACTTTTGTGTTGGTTTCGCCTGATTTATTTATGAAACTGCTGCCAATGAAATAGAATGCGAACACGTCGGTATGTATTTCTGCAAGCCAAAGTCAACTACGTATTTGATGTTATAAAACACAAACTAAATACATAGTTTACTCTTATGTCTTTAACTTAGAAAAGTGGAGGAGGAAAATGAAAAGAAGTATGCACGGAAGGATATTCCTGGACCACTCCAAGGCAGGTGGGTGACAACAGATTTTAGATAATGCTCTTTACTTTTCGGAATCTGTAAAATACATGTAACGTGTTTGTTTTCCAAGCAACTCCTGTATTAATGCAAACATGAACATTTACCAGGCCGGGCATTATATCAGTTTTTTCCATGCTTGCATAGGGGAAAAAAAAATTACCATCATACCAACTATTTCCATACGCGCGTAGGAAAAAGGAAATAAGATTATTTGTCCTTGGTGACTGAAATTTTGAACTGTTGGAATCTAATGAAGTATTGGAACCTACAGCTCTAATGGAGACATAAAGTAAATATGGATAAATTTGTGCTATAGAATAAAGAATCATTAAAACATCAAAATAAAAAAAAATAACTGAGACTTAAAAAGCAGAAAACATTAAAGAAACCCAAAAAACCCAAACCAGAAACAACAAAACCCTTCCACCACCTTTTCAGCACAGCTGTCTTAAAAACTTATATGGAGCTCTTGTGCACAAGGCAGCTAAGATCATTGTACCTGAAAACTAAGATTTAAGTTGGTTGTAGCCTCTTTAGAGGGCGATCCTGCAGGAGCCCAAACTAGCACTTCAGAAAGTATTGCAAAATCTTTTGTGTACGTAAACTAAACTTATTTTTGAGTGGAGACACTGAATTAGCTTTTCGAAGAATAAAAAGCAATTTCAACTGTCAGAGTGTAAGTTCTTATACTACTGTAAGTTTTAGTTGGAATTATACAAGTTGAAGCTTTGTGGGTCTTTCCCAGTTTTACCATGTTGGAGTGCGTCATGTCAGAAATCTGATGCAGCTTTTCTTTGGATCCTTAGTCATTACCTTACTTTGCTGTGTAGCAATAAGCAATTAAACATTGTCAAGTCAAACTTTTCAGTCCAGATTTTCAGATTTCAGTAGATTTGTTTTTCTGTGAATGAGTTTATACTGAACTGAAGTGTCCTATAATTAAGTAGGGGTTTGAATTAATTGCTTCAGCATTCGTGATCTGTTTTTCTGAGAGCAAGAAACCGTTTTTGTTGCTATGCTCAGCATTGTGTAAGTGTTTAATGTGTTTTTTGTTTTCCCCTCTCTGGTACGGCAGTGGCCAGGATATGGTGAGCATCCTGCAGTTAGTCCAGAACCTAATGCACGGAGAGGAGGAAGAGGAAACTTCCCAGGCCTATCGGTAAAGCCAGTATGAATTGTTGTATGTGGAAGATAATAGAACTTACACATTTAAGTGTTTTAAAGTGTAAAGATATTGTGCAGCCATGTAACTTCTTAAATGCAACTTCCGTTATGTAGTGAACCACAATAGCGCATTAGTAATTACTAATTAGTACTAGTTACTAAATTGAATTATAGAAAGGAACTTGCTGATGTGGCAGCTCGTTTTGTTTTCTACTTTCTGAATGTGGTTTTAAGTGTGAAAGTCTTATAAGACTTTGAATACCTTTTTTTTTTACCATCTCTCCCTCTAGATTTTAAAGAAACAAAAAAGGAAATAAAATTTGTTTCCATTTTTCTGTGAAATGGAAATAATACTAACTAATCTGCAGAAACGTATTGAAAACTAATGTTTGAAAAGCAGTTTGGATATTAGAAAACAAAAACCAAAAAACTAATGAAAGCTCTCTAATGCTATTAATAAGTGTCCTCAGTTTTCTCTGCCTGAGGAGAGAAAGGCGTGTGTTTCATGCACTGTAAAGTCCCACTGCACATAAGGTGCCAAGTCCCAGCTCACAGCAGCCCATTGGCTAAAGGAGAGGCTGTGCTTTCCCGTGAGCAGCTGGGCCAAGTGTGGGGGCTTTTGTCTGCGCTGGCATTTCAGTGGGTAATGCATGATGGCAGGAAGGTGACAGTGGCACACTGTGCTTCTCTCTGCTAATTATTTAAAATTGCACGTCAACAAATTCTGCCACTCTGCAGTAAAGTTCATGACTTGTACTTAGTTGGCAGTGACTCTTTTCTGACTTGCAGACTTCAAAACGTTGGTGAACAGGGTCACATGGCTCTACTGGGACATAGTTTGGCTGCTTATATATCAGTGCTGGACAGGGAAAGGCTGAGGAAACTTACCACGAGGATCCTTTCTGATACCACTCTCTGGCTCTGCAGGCTTTTCAGGTGAGTCACTGTGAATAACTTCTGTATCATTAGGGACTGATAATTGTTTAAAAATATGCGTGACTGGACTGAGGATATCAACAAAAGAAACCACTGTGCCACAAACTTACAAAGATTCTTTGAAAAGTCTGAAACACATCACATAATTAGAAAAAAAAAGAGACTGCTTGTTGAATGGCAGGAACATACTAGTAACATGGTTGCCATAAAAATCCTTTTATAAGGGCTACATGGTGGAGCTAAGGGCCAAAGTACAGTCAGAGACATACAGTTGATCAAACAGCAAAAAAAAACCAAGTAAGCTCACGCTTTTCCCTTCTAATGATACTGTATCTTTCAGAAAATCTTGTCAGTGCTACTAAAGGGAAGAGAAATCTTTATTATTATTTTTATTTTTTTTTTGCACAGTGCAAGATGAAATGCTAAAAATATAACTGAAGTTAACCCAAATTTAGTTGTTAGAATTACAAAGGACTTTTCTTACATTGACAAGTTCACTTCTTTCAGAATTATCTTACAAATTCAATTATTATCTTTATTTGTCTTTGACTTAAAGATTTTGAAACCCTGTGCAATGATGAAATTTGAGAAGTTGCAGGTAATCCAGCTATTTTGACAAATGTGTATATAGAGAGTGTCAGCGATGTTTCTAAATGGCATGGCTAACAAAAAGAAATATTTCTGTTGTGAATCAAATATTCAGTAGCATTGTGATTTTGGGATTAATGGTGAGTATCTATTGGACTGTGGGCCCCAAAGTTTTGTGACCCAAAGGCGACAGCACTGACCAAATACCGTGCTGTGAACTGCTTCACAGCCCTTGGGATTCGATGTGGCTGTGAGCAGCACGAGAGGCATCTCCCTTTGCCCATGTGGATCACACAACTGCTGTGTGAAGGTGGAGTAGGTGTTTGCGTGTGGGTCAGTCTGGAGTGTAACTCTGAAATACTCAGCAGTATTTGTGCATCAGAGAAGCTGTGGTAAACGAAGATATTTAAGGGCCTTTATGTAAATTTTTTGACAAATGCCACTCTTAGATTGTGCAATACCACTGACTTATGTGTTATACAAAAATTCTAAAAGAAAAATCTAGCTTGCAAGCTGCTTAATAAATTGACATACCTACTGCTTTCACTGCTGCCCTTTCCTTTGCTGTGGTTAAGACAGCTGAGCGATTGCCCTCCATGTGCAACAATCGTACCTTACCTCTTCTTTGGTTACTGTACTCCTGTTTCTTGGCTATAAATGTCAATGTGCTGATCTGATTCTGACTCTTAAAAGGGTTAAAAAAGGTAGGGGAGGAGCAGACGCATACCCCCAAGCCCCCGTGAGCCCCAAGGAAACATGCCTAATAAATCAATATCCATAAAATCATTAAAATATTCCTGGGGAAAAATATACTTCATTTATGTGACTCACAAATTTAAAACATCTGGAAAACTGTCTTGCAGTGTGCTGAATAGGTTGTACTAAATTGTGGTCATATTTTCAAACTCTCTAACATACTCATTATATCAGTAATTTTGGCTATTACAAAATATTTTAATTTGTGATTTCGTAACAAAGTTTGCAACTTTCTGCCCACTTACCTTATTTCATGTGTCTCATTCCAATTTTACTAACTTAACTTCAAGAACGTCAGGTTGCATTCCCTTGAAAATTATTACTCCAGTATTTATGTATATATTAAATCCAGGTGAAGACTTTCATGTGTTTCCTCCCCAGCTCCGCTCTTAGTAAGCAAGGTTTTGAACTCTGTAAAGGAAATCCTTAGGATCCCAGATGGTTTTTCTTTTTTATTTTATCTCTGAGTCTAAATGAAAATACATACTAGGCTTCCCTCATTGTCAATCCCAGCCCATGTCATCAAATTTTCCTTCTACTCTATCCTGGTAAGGTAGAAGTGGTTTTCTCTTTATCTTCTTTGTCCTCCGGTGAGCTCCTTCGCTGGTCGGTGTTCTTTTAGTCACTGAACTGGCTGTTGGGTTTGTTGGTCATATTTACTTGGCTTGTCTTGCAGATATGAAAATGGATCAGCATATTATCATGAAGATGATCGTGAAGGTCTGCTAAAGATCTGTCGACTTGTTATTCACACGCGCTATGAAGATTACACAGTAGAAGGCTTCAACGTGCTCTATACTAAGCAGCCCGTCATATACATTAGTTCTGCAGCTAGAACAGGCTTGGGCCAAGCTCTCTGCAATCAGGTAAAGTGAACCCGTTGGGGTTTTAGCTGGAAGTAGAATTTTGCTGGCTTCATACTGCCTATTGAAATTTAGATTTTAAAAATATATTCAGACTTTTTCTGCAAGAGACTGTATTTGCAGTACAGTCTGGCACACTACTGGGCACAGTCTTGGGAGTTAGTTTGGGCTGGTGGAAGCTTTCCTTTAGATCCATGTGTCAGCCTGTAACTTCCACTGTTAAAAGTGAAGGTGCTTCCAGATTTTTCCCAACGTTAGTCACCCTGCAGCTCGTCTTCCACACAATTGCTTGGTTGGTGTTCCTGATGGGCAGGTTCCCTTCATCCTTGTCTCTTCTTTGCCTTTCTATGGATATAGTAGAGTTTTACAGCTTATAAAATTATATAAGTTTCTGAGACTCAGGATGATGTTTCTGCCTGTTGAAATACAGTATGAAAAGAGGCATTTTGAAGAATGAGGAATGAGCTTTGGTCCCAAAGTTAATTTTGGGACAAGCATGACTTCAGTGATTTTGAAAACTTCCTCATTTTTCCTCATGGTAGAAACAATAGTGATGTGACTAAACAGGAATACAGCAGGGGGTGGGAGGGAAAGGGAGTCTGAGGTGAAAATGCTGTGTCTGAGTTGTTGAAATTCCACTGTTTTTATTGCAGCTGGGGTTACCCCTGTCTTGCATGTGCCGTGTGCCCTGTAACACTATGTTTGGATCTCAACACCAAATGGTAAGTTTGTCTTCCTTAAAAAGCTCTTTTGTTGTTTTTTTCTATTTTTTGAAAAGGCTCATTAAATGAATGTGAAGTATGTTGTTAGGAAAAACGTATTAATGTCCTTTTTCAGCCTCAAAGCCTTCAGTGTTACAGCTGTACAAATTCGTTTGAAATCGTATGAAAAGCAAGCAGCTTCTGTCTTGGTCTTGTCATTTGCAAAATAGTTTTAATGGCATGTAGTAAGGTACTTGTTCATCCAAGATTTCTAGACTATGTGTAGTCAGGGGTATCTTTACAAACTACATGATATATTTGTGTTGGATTTTTCACAAATGATTTATCTAACCTTCAGGTTACTTTACCTTTGAGAAGAAGAAACTGCAAGCCACAAAGACATTAATAATGTCTTCCAGAACTTCAAAAAGCTCTCCTTTTTCACTCTTAACACATTTTTCCAGTTCAGCAGAAACAATTCTGTATTGTTTGACAAACATATTTATAAATACTTCTCTTTCTCTCATTGATAACAGGATGTTGCTTTGTTGGACAGATTGATTAAAGATGATGTAGAATCTGGGAAACTGCCTTTGTTGCTTGTGGCCAATGCTGGTAAGTGCTGTGGACAAACAATAACAAAAAAGGCACACTATTTTCATGAATATATATATAAAATCCAAAATAAAAATATATTTTCTTAAACAGCTCAATGGCTGCATGTCAAGAAATATCTTAATGACCACACAATAATTACCTATCTAGAGGGGTTTTTATTTAACTGAGTTGGAGTGTACTGCTCTGGTTCTGCTTATGCCACTTGATATATTAATGTGACTACAACTTATTTCATTGAGTGCAAATCTCTTGTTGAAAATCAGTTTCCTGTTAACACTTCAGAATATTTTGATGGATGTGCCATCAACTTTAGCTTTAAAAATTATATTTTTCTTCTAATTAATTAAACAGAACTGCTCATGAACAAAATTTGGTTTAAGTACAAATGAAGGAGGTAACTGTTACTTGCTTTGGACTTGGAAAAATATCTGAGATGTGAATCTTGGTTGAGGTCATACTTTGAACATACTAAAAAAGTCTGCGTTTCTTATCTGAGGCTGCTGAGTTTTTGAATGCCAAGGACATCTAATTTTCTAAGTATTTTTAACATATATTGACAAGCAGGACAAGTATCTTTATTTTTTATCCAGAATTCCAGCTGCTCGTAAGTCACGATGAGCCAGATACCAATATTGTGCAGTGAGCTCTTTTTAAACATCCTCTTTCCTGCTGTTGTGTGACTTTTTTGACAACAGCACAAGAGGTCCTTTTATGCAGAATCCTCGTTTACGTGCTTATCCTTTGTGATTGCCTTTTATTCCTCTTCAACAAAGGGACACCGGGTGCTGGGCACACAGATAAACTTGGCCGACTGAAGGAACTTTGTGAGCAGTATAATATGTGGCTCCATGTAGAAGGGTATGAAACTTGAAATTTATTTCTGTATAACTATATTCATTAAAAAGTCTGACTAGTAGACAACACATAATTTAACATCTAACCAGCTAGGAGAGGGCCATAGGACTGTGTTTATATTTGCCATATTAAGCAATTTATATGGTTATACTGTGAGAGATACAGATTTATTTATTTTTTAACATATACAGGAATAATTAATGGGAGTGGTTATTTCAGCATAGGTTAGTGGTTACTTTTACTCAGATAGTAATTTTCTCTGCCCTTGCTTTTGAAGAGCTTGGAATAAGAATAAAAAGACCTAATAGGACAAGTCGGGGAGACGTTATAAAGTGATTATTGAGAATGAGAAAGGAGAATGACATTAGAGTGAAAGAAATGACAGTTTAATTAAGGTTGTCAAGACGACTGCTGCAAGTGCAGTGTGCAGCAGAACTGGGAGGAGGATTAAACCAAGAGGAAAAGAAATTCCAAGAATTTAGGCAATGTTAATGAAGACTTCATTGCTCTGAGACTTGGGGGTTTTTTAAGCCTGGAGTACAGACTCTGGTTCTCCTGATACTTCGTTGTATAGTGTTATATTTGCACGCTATTTATTTCTGATACCAAATTGATGATAAATTACGGGTAGGACTTTGGGGGATGATTTCCCCAAAGGTTGGAACTGAAACATCTTTAGATTGAAATGGATTTTTACTTTTGGGTTTTCAATCTTGGAATTTTACTCAGATAGTAATTTTCTCTGCCCTTGCTTTTGAAGAGCTTGGAATAAGAATAAAAAGACCTAATAGGACAAGTCGGGGAGACGTTATAAAGTGATTATTGAGAATGAGAAAGGAGAATGACATTAGAGTGAAAGAAATGACAGTTTAATTAAGGTTGTCAAGACGACTGCTGCAAGTGCAGTGTGCAGCAGAACTGGGAGGAGGATTAAACCAAGAGGAAAAGAAATTCCAAGAATTTAGGCAATGTTAATGAAGACTTCATTGCTCTGAGACTTGGGGGTTTTTTAAGCCTGGAGTACAGACTCTGGTTCTCCTGATACTTCGTTGTATAGTGTTATATTTGCACGCTATTTATTTCTGATACCAAATTGATGATAAATTATGGGTAGGACTTCAGGGGATGATTTCCCCAAAGGCTGGAACTGAAACATCTTTAGATTGAAATAGATTTTTACTTTTGGGTTTTCAATCTTGGAATACCAAGTAGCAACATCTACTGCATTGGTAATGAAAAATATACAAACAAAAATTACCTCCCTTTTATTTAAACTGAAGATTAAAATGCTATCTCTCAATACATATTTAATATGTGCTAAAACCACTTTATTTTTCTAGTGTGAATTTGGCAACTTTGGCTTTGGGTTATGTCTCCTCTTCTGTACTGGTATGTTTTACTATATCTAGAAACTTAACAACGTGCTCTAGATATTAAGGTCATGATCTAATCAAAGTATATATGGCTTATATTCTGCTTATTATAATAAAACTCAGGCTGCTACAAAGTGTGACAGCATGACTCTCACTCTGGGCTCCTGGCTGGGGCTCCCGGCCGTGCCTGCAGTGACGCTCTACAGACACGAGGATCCGTCTTTGGTACGTTTAACTTCAGTCGTTATTCTCAAGATCTTGAGACTTTTAATTTTGTTCGTGTTGTATTGTCTGTTCTTCATAGGCATCTAAATTATAATTGGAAAAAACCCTCCCCTATATAAGATATGACATATTGCATAAGCTGGCAAAAAAAGGAATAATTGAAGAGAGGTTAGCAGTGGTTTGTTTATTGTTTGTTTTCCTCCCTAGTCCTTAGCAGCTGGGCTGACATCGAGCCAGCCCGTGGAGAAGCTCCGTGCCCTGCCACTGTGGCTCTCCTTGCAGTACCTGGGCCACGACGGGATTGTGGAGAGGATAAAACACGCCTCGCAACTCGTAAGCACCAGCTGGTTGGCATGGGTTTTATGGATAGTTTCTGCTTTGAGACTCTTCTTAAGAGTCCTCACCATCTGATTCCATGGTTTGAGTCTCCAAGCAGAAACAAAGCTCAGACAGCAAACGTAGTACTGGCAATATCCAGATGGCTGTCACAGACCAGCATTTTACTTAAAAGTGTTTTGAAAATAGCTGTTAATACATCTTTTTTGATTATTGTGATGCATTGTAGTAGAATCAAGTAAAATTTTATAGTTGTTGACAGTATTGTGTTACAAATTAATTACGAAAGCAGAGTAAAGTGTTTGGGGGAGGGATATGCTTTTACTATCAGATTGTGTATTTTATTAGGGTTTCTTAAGGAGAAATACTTAATCTTTGTTCTTTCTAAACAGTGAAGTAACATAAGAACTTCCCTTTTTTTGGTTATTTGTCTGGTCACTATTTTGCTTGAAAGCTCTTCAGAGAGACTTCCTTGTGTTCCTACTCTACTTGGTATTGATTTAACTAACAGTAAATTATAAACGCCTGACAAAAAGGACTTCAAAACATTTCTTCAGATACCGGGGCAAACGCACTATTTTTGAAGTTGAGTCCTTACCCCGGTAAAAACTAAGATCCAATATAATTTGTTTGTTTAAAAATGCATTGTTGATTCGCAAAACATTTTTTCCTTAAAGGTACAGCACTTCAAGGCAAAATGGAAATGGGAAGTTTCTGTAATGGTTAGTGAAGAAGCTGTTGACATGAAGGACCTAAAAGAGTGACAAAGTATCATTAGTCATTAAGATTTCGTGGCATCTAAGATTGATCCTAGCTTTTATAATAGTGTATTAATAGTCATGAACCACAATGTAAAAACGTCTTTTCTAATGAAAATAATTCAGAAAGCCATCGTAACCAGTTGCTATGGTAGCTTTGATAAAAATAACTCTTCTGCTACACACTGCGCTGTAGTTAGTCAACGGAGTTGTAACACCTCTGGAACTTTGTCAACAAACACACCAAGATTTTATTTTCACAAAAATCACTTTGTAGTCAGTGTTTTACTAAAAACAGAAAATATTTTTGCATTATATTCTAAATTTACAAATAAGAACTGGACGAATCTCATGTCATAGGGGTTTGTTCAGTAGTAGAACTTAGGGTGGTGACTATTTAATGCTTCTCAGAGTAATTTTCAACTTTTAAAAGTGTGTTTGTCTCTTCCTTATGTTTCCCTTCTGCTGTGGTCTTCTAGAGTCAAAGGTTGCTGGAAAACTTGAAAAACCTGGATTTCATTAAAACTTCGGTATTGTCTACATTTAATACTTCGGTTCTATTTGTCTTCGCTTGTTAAATGATAAGAATAACTTTGATTAAAAAGAATATTTTAAACTATTACTTAAATCATAGCCATTGTTTTGAAGATGCTTGGTATCTTTCTGATTAAGTTCTGGTGTTCAGTGAAATTGTGTGGCTTGGCTGTGTGTGACCTCCAGACTGTTTGTTCCATTGCTGGGTACTCGTGCAGTCAGTGGAGCCGACAGAACAACATCCAGAAATTGTTTCCAGAGGTTGATTTAATTCCCTTTAAAACAGGGATTTGTTCAGTAATACATCTATGAAACCAGTTTCCGTAAACCTCTCTAATACATTCTGGCTGCATCTTACCTGCTGGTGAGATGAGATTGTGAACCTTGTGAAACTGTACACAGAAATTATCCCGGCTCAGGCTTTTACACCAGAATTAGTTTTAGAAATTATATCTAATGTATTCGTTCCAGATTTGACTTTTCCGAGATGTCACCTTCAACAAGATTTGGTGGCTTTACTCCACCTGCCCCCTGATTTTAATTGACACTTACGTATAGCAAATATATTCAGTTTAGCTTTGGGGGCAATAGTTGTTCATTCCGTGTGATAGTGAATTAACTATTTTATAAAAAATTGTTTCTCCAACGTAGCCTCAGGTTGCCTCCAGAAGCTGCCCGGTCCATTGCTCCTGTCCCCAAAGCAGGATCAATTATAATCTTGTTCCTGCTAGAACTTTCTTGATGTTCTCCATATGTTAATATCTGAAAATACTTAAAGCTAAATAAACTATTTTATAGAGTATATTTGCTAATGAACATGCTTAGGTTTCTTGCTTTATAGTGCCCAAATTTTAGTTAATAGAGTATATTTGGTAATGAACATGCTTTCTTGCTTTATAGTGCCCAAATTTTAGTTTAATGATTCTGGGGCAATTTCCAAGAGAATGTTTTTAAATGTTAATATCTGAAAATACTTAAAGCTAAATAAACTATTTAATAGAGTATATTTGGTAATGAACATGCTTTCTTGCTTTATAGTGCCCAAATTTTAGTTATGCACTCCTTAAATTAATACAATTTTGCTTTAACTGAATAATGATTTACGTTCCTGTGTTTACAGATATGTTTACTTATACTCCCAGAGTTAACTTCTAATATTGAGACAGTGTGAACATTGTTAAAACAAAATGATCTGCTTTGCTCTGCAGTCTCAGGAATGATACACAGTGTTAAATCTCTTAAAAATATCTGAAAATAGATCCAAATTTTTTTTTAAGGTTGAAGATGAACTGAGTTCACCAGTGGTGGTTTTCAAGTTCTTCCGGGAATATTCAAATAGAGGTAGGTGATTTATTTAAAAACAAAGCCAAAAAACTCTCAATAAATAGTTTTTGAAACTACTAATTTGTAAAATGAATATGGTGAGGTAAATGGTATGTAGTCCAACTTCTCGTGGGTGATGTGCTTTTACAAAGGCTGTGCATGCTGGCTGTAATCTAGTGATAGAATCCATACATGTGAGAGCTGCTTTTTTTAGATAGACTGCAGTGTTTTAAATTTTCATAACAAGTCATTTCTGCCTTCTTGAGTGAGCAGAGATTTGCATATGATTTTGATCTCGAGAGCAGATGATGGAAGGGTCTCACAGGCTGCAAACTGTGTTTGAGTGTACTGGTGGGGGAAGGTCTTGGCTTTGTTCAGCCCTTCTGTTCCTTTTAAACTTTCAGTGGCAAAACCCACGATTCTCTGTTTTGCTGATTACACTTGCAATAGTTTTAAAAATAGCAGAACACATCAGGACCATCTCTGGAAATCCTGTCACAGGAACAGAGTAGCCACGCCACGTGGCTCTCAGCAGAACGTCCTTGCTCAGACGTGCTCTCCAGGAGAGCGGTTTTGTCCCGTCATTACAAGAGAGGCTGCTTTGCTGTTTGATGAGCACACTCTGAGGGTGGGGACGTGGCCACCTGGGATGAGGCAAAAGATTGCTAGAGAACTTGGTCGTTTTGTTATAAGTGTCGATTTTAATCCTCTGGATTTTTTTGTGTTGGGCAGGGGGGAGGTTTGGTTTGGGTTTTAATCTCATCAGTGTTTGCGCTCACAAAGCAAACCTGTTCATCCGGGTCCAGTGACTTGGTGGGTCGCTTTGTACGTCAGTGCATTGATTTGAAAAGCTTCACTAGGGAGACATCACCCACCTGAATTTTGAAAATGTTTGGCCATTCCTGCACGTTTTGTGTGTAGAATGGACTCTCATATTCTTAGTATTGTTTTTGTGTGGAAACAGAAAGTAATCATTAAAACTTGATTAAAACAGTAGCTGAATGCATCAAATTAAATATTGTAGCCTGCTGTGACAACATTTTGCTTTGTGAAAACATTGTTTTTATTTCCATTGGGGCATTTGGACCTCAAAACGGACAGAATTATTTTATGGGTTGTTGTTAAAACTAGTATATTCAACTCTCTATTTTACTTTCAGTATTAGTCATGCTCAACATACCTTTACAAAAACCCCTTGTTAGTCTGCTTGTGGTCCAGTACATGGTATAGATGTTTTACATTACCTAGGAAATGTAATTGTCTTTTATCTAAATTTTAGGTTGCCTTTTGTTTAATTAAGTAAATAAAAATCCACTTCTGTGATTCTTATATCTTTGGATTCAGATCAAGCCTCACATGGTGCACAGGCCTCAACTATTCAGCACCCCATATTAAGCAATGAAAGACACATTTATGACACCTTCAATCAGTGGGTAAGAATGGATGCATTTTCTCTTTAGGAAAAAAGAATTGTCAGTGGGATGCTTCCAGGGGCTCAGGAGTAATTATATAACCTTTGATAGACTAATTTGACAGTTATACTTGAGCTGATCTCCTTCGCAAAACTACTGGGCATTCTGGATTTAAAAGACAAATTTACTCTGAAGCAAAGTTGCTTTCATGCTTCTGATTATTTTACATGTAATTATTACTGAAATTATTACTGCATCTTCAGCTGCTGGTAGTGGATTTTTTCCCTTGGGTCTTGTGAGAATATATGAAAACTTTAAAACTCTTTTTAATCAGGTAGATGCTTCATGGACAACATCTTTGTATTCATGAGTAGGCACTCTTTGTTTTCTAGATCTTATGAGAATTAATTCTAGAAACCTGTGCTTTCAGAGAGCAGAGCACAGAACTATTTTGGGTCAGTTGCACTGTAATCATGGCATACTTAATGACAGGGACAATTTTGCAGAAACTTCTAACTTGTGACACTTGTAGCTTATCCTGAATTTCCATGGTTTTACATGTATGTCCAACTTTGTCGTATCCCCAGCAAACCCAAGTATATTGTTACCAGAAGTGATTTTGAGGAATACAGAAAGCTGTTTTGCGTGGTTGTCCTTAACGGGGGTTAAGTTAACCGGGTGCTCCACCTGGCCTGAGTCAGGGAGGGCAGGAGGTCGTGCCGTGGGGAGCACCCGGCCTGAGTCAGGGAGGGCAGGAGGTCGTGCTCTGTGCGTTGCTTTAACTGTGCCTTATCCCCTCAGCTGGGAGAGCAGCTGGCACAGCTGGTACCTGCCAGTGGAGTTGATGTGGTGGAACTGGAAGATGAAGGCACATGTGTGCGTTTTAGCCCACTAATGACTTCTGCAGGTAACATTCACTTAATTCAGCTGCTTGTAAATAATGGGGTTTGCTGTAGAATTGTAGAACAAAAGCAGATGTGCTCAAGAAACTTTTCAGTATATTCTCCTGTGGTGAGGATTTTCTTATAAACAAAACAAAAATATCTTGGCTTTATCATTCTGCTGTGCCTTGGCAATGAGTACGTTAGTGTTGGCTCAGCTGTTGTGCGTGACGTTGCCTCACTACCTCTGCAGGAAAAGACTTGAACTAATCATTTAAAAATTCTTTAGGAAAAGCAAGGGGAGAAGTTCTTTAACAGTTATAATAGAAATATGAAGGATAAATCATCCCTACCTTTCCTTCTTTCAGCTGCTTGACACAAGATGCATGACCTTTCTAGACGGGTGTTCCAACGCTGAAATGGTGCTTGTGTTCAAAATATAGCTACTTAACTAGAGTAATTATTTACTAAACCTCTAGGTTTTTCTATAATGACTGATGTAGGGGGTAAAGATCTGTGTTTTGGAAGGTGTCTGTCAGCACCGTGTAGGTACTTTGTTTAGACCTGACAGATGCCCAGAGCAACTTGCAGGGGCTCACATGGTGTCTCCTTTTAGCTTGTGGGGGGATGGCTTAGGCCATCAAAGCACCTGATGCTGAGGAGAGAGGATCCTGGTGTACACAGAAAAGTAAATTTTAGAATAAAATTACTTGGTGATATGTGACTGCTTGTTTGTTTGGTTTGGTTTAAACCACCATGAAAGGTAGTTCATGACACGAAGAGGAAATTTTCCGATTCTGGCTACTGATGTAAAGAAAAAGGGTATAGTCCTTATTACTTTTGAAATTCCTTTTTATTAGCTAATTTTTTATTAAACCCTTTTCTCTCTCCATTTTTATATATTAGTGGGTAGATAACTGAAGAAAAAACACCGTTATATAGATCAAGATATTTCAATACTATCTGTAAATTGTATTTATGATTGACTTATTTATGAGTGGCTTCTTTACAGATTACTTTATTTAAATATCTATGTGATGTCTGCTCACTTTTATCACACACTGACACATCAGCTCTTTAGTTTTAGGAACTGAAATCCAAGATGTTGATCACTTAGTAGACTGCTTAAAAATGAAGATACCAGTATTGACAAGTACACTGCAACTGAGAGAGGAATTTGAGCAAGAAGTGAGAAGAACAGTAGGCCTGTTGTATATTGAAGATCTCAGCTGGCCAGGATTAGGTGTTGTAAGGTAAACTTTCCGGTATTTTCTTCATTATATATTTGGAAAGACTGTGCGCTAACAGAAATTAATGCATGATCTCTTCAGTGGTGATTATTGTCTCCTGTTGGCTGATTAGTATCTGGCTTTGCACCCAGATGAAGCTTTTGCGTACTTTAAAAATTAAATTACCTTTTTAACATTGTTTACTTTGAGATTTTATTTTTTTAATTAAGAAAAGCTGAAGAGCTGTTTTAAGAAAATTAGGGCAGCAGTTCTAATATTGGAGGCAGCATGTGGATCTGTTAGGTATGCAATATGCAAATGCATCTGACTGTGTAACTTAAATTCTTATCTATAGTGGGATTCACTAATATACTCAATAAAATCCTTCAAATGTCTGTTCTGATCCTCTGATTCTGTATAGTGAAAACAGTTGAAGTCTAATCAATATATTACCTAGAAAGGTGGTGTGTTCTGTTAAGCTTGCAGCAGCAACCTCCTCCCACCCCAAAATGTGATGGCAAATGCCAGTAAGCTGTAACGTGTTGAGGTTTTGGGGTTGTAAAATACAGAAATTTGTAGGAACGTGCTATATGTCTATGTATTTTTGTATGTACTGATAAGTGAAATTGCTCTGTTCTGGCTTGGTTTGAAGATACAACTATCACAGTGATGGGAAGAATGATGACAAACAAGAAAAAGAGCTAGAAAAAATCAATGCAGAACTTCTGAAAAAATTGAATGAACTGGAGTCGGATCTCACTTTTTCTTTGGGTAACTGCACTATTTAAAAAACTTCAAGATAAAAGTAACTTTACTGGCTGTGTTATAGTGGTTCAACAGGTCATTTGTACGTAGGACACGATAATGTGGAATCACACTGCTGCATATATGGTTAGAAACAGTACCTGTTTCACCCCTGTTTCAGCTGATAAAAGCTCAAGTGGGTGAGCAAGGTGCAATGCTCTCAGGAAAACTTGTGAAAACTGACTGGTGAGCAACCAAACAGGGTCTTCTTGGCAGAGAGAATAAAAGCTGGAGCGTTCCTCTTTGTAAACGTAGCCTTCTTGGTGCTATGGCCAGCAAAGAGCAGAGTTCCTTCCAAATCCACAAACCAGGTCACTGCTTTCTGTGCCTAGAAGAGCTTCTGATGACTTCAATGATAATTAGCAGCGCTTTCACATTTACATAGTGCCACGTTATAGCTGAAATAATATTAATTTGCTTACTGAGAACTCTGATCTTTTCTAGTCAGCTTTCAAAAATTAAGTGCCCTAGAATTGTGGAGCCAAGTAATCTGTAAATGGCAGAAAGCAAGGAGTTTGAAGCATATTCAAACACTGATATTTATTATACAACTCCTTGGCTGTATAAAATATCCACTGTTTTTCTTGTTTAGCTGTTGTTTTCTCTTCTCTTTTTGAAAACCTACAGGGCTGAGCTTTTCCAGTTTGCATAATTTACACCTTTGCAGATACTGCCCTTGATTTCTGAAGTGTGTGTGTTTTGGGATTTCCAGGTTCGCAAGTGTGAGCGCTGCGCCTGTTGTGAGACTCTGTTTTTGTACATCAGTCACAAATGCTTGATTCTCTCTGTGCTCACAGGTCCCGAATTTGGAGGGCAGAAGAACTGTGTGTATATTGGCATGGTCACCGAGGACCTGGACGTGTCGGAGTTAGTCGAAACTATTGCAGCAACAGGCAGAGAAATTGAAGAAAATTCAAGAGTATGTATTAATAAATCACAGAGCATTTCAGCACCTTTTTTTCCCTTCCATATTGGCTTCAGGACCTGGTTTTGTTATTTGTGAAAGTAAAAATTATACTTGCCCACACCAAACTGTATTAGTTACTGTGGAAGTAATAATCTGTGTCCACATAAGGATAACTTGTTACAGGATTATGATATTCTGAGGATGTCCTGATTTATGGTCATGGTCTTGTGTTCAGTAGTTCTAATGAAAAACTTAGGGAATACTGAAATAGGCTCATTTTATCATGAACATTTAAGCTGTCAAAAACCAAAACAACCAAAAAAAACCCAGAAACCCCCAACAAAACCAAAAGGGGAGGTGGGGGCTGATTGTGAGCAGATGTGGTGGGATTGAGATTGATTGATTGTTATATACCAGCTTTTAAGATAACATTTAAGCTGTCAAAAACCAAAACAACCAAAAAAAACCCAGAAACCCCCAACAAAACCAAAAGGGGAGGTGGGGGCTGATTGTGAGCAGATGTGGTGGGATTGAGATTGATTGATTGTTATATACCAGCTTTTAAGATAAGACTATGCCCTAAAGTGTGTGAAAGATTTTAAATTGGTGGCTTAAAAAGAGAAATTACAAATTACTTACTGAAGTAATAAAACTGATGATGCAACTCCTTTTTGTAAAAGCATTTACTTCATTAGAGTTCTGCAGATGTTCTTGAGAGTAGAATTCCTAAATGACATTCTGCATCACAAATGAACATTTGTCCTTTCACTCCTCTAGTGTTGGGCATTTAATTTCCTCACCTAAAAAATAAACAGAACTTCAGAAATCCTCTGCCTGTTTCTGCCCGTGGGAATATGTTGATTTTGGTAATGAAACTTTTTCTAGCAGTTTTCTGGAGACTTTCTGCCCACTCTTGACTCCCTGTGCTGCTTTGAGGGTGAGATGAAAGATAGTTTGCCTGTAGAGTAGTTCCTGGTTTTTAACTGTTGTGGTTGAGAGATTAGGGACGGAATGTTGGAATATGGGCCATTCTGATCCTGAAGCTTCCAGGGAGGAACAAACAGTAGTGGAAGACTTGGAAAGGTGCAGTCCTTGGAACCAGCTACAATAAATTTGAGGCACTAAAAAGATCCTACACTATTTGATCCAAACCCAAGAAGCAGAACTAACCTGTGAGAATGACACTTGCATCGTTTAGATAAGTGATGTTTGGTACAAGAGGGAAGCTGTTTTAGGAAAAAATCAAACTGTTCCTGTATCAGCAAGCCCATAGCACACACAGAGAAGTACACTAAAAGGCAGAATCAAAATTTAGGACAAGCATCTCGACTGGGCCAGAAAACCCCAGTGGCTCTTCCTTGTACTCTAAATACGATTCCCTCGGCCCCTCAGGGCACTCAGCTTGCTGGGGTGGTAGTTCCTGGCCTGCCTCTCCCCCGGGGACAAGGAGAACCTTCCTCTTTTGCCTGTTCTTGTTAACTGACAGTAACCCAAATTTTTGGCATTTTGGAGGAAGTGCCTGTTGTAATATTAAGCCCATATTAAGTTATGGTCATTCACATTTGTCTTGCATGAGACAAAATTGTGACTTTTTTTTGCTGATTTGGGTTTGTTCATGTATTGCCCCTCCAGCTCTCCCAGGGAGCTGCTTGTCCTTTGCAGCACAAAACATCACTGCTGCCAGCACGGGATGCTGCAGGGATCACACTGACAGTTGTATATTACGTTTGAAAAATAAAGCTGAACCCAGAGTGGCACGTACCTGGTTAGACTTACTGTGAGGCTGGTTTAAGTCCTGGGTACTTCTAGAAACAAAAACGTACTCTGTAAACCTGGTAATTCTTCCCAGTCAGATTCGGTATCTGAGGAACACTTCTGTGCTAAGCAGATCTTTGATGAATTTGGGTCACAGGCTCATTTCTAAGAAAAATATGTACCATTCCTGTTTAAAATGACATTGTCCTCTGGGTAGACTTTTAAAAATCCTGTGGTCAACCTGTACATTCTTTAATTTACAGTCATAATGAAATAGTGATTGTCAAATACTGTCTTAAATTAGAAAAATACCTCGTTATCATGTTTACATCCTCAAAACCTGAGTATAATTTCTGGTTTTTATTAGCTGTTGGAAAACATGACTGAAGTTGTTAGAAAAGGGATACAGGAAGCACAACTTCAGCTTCAGAAAGCAAACGAGGAGCGCCTTCTGGAAGAGGTAAGGCTGGAAGCATGAGTTACGGAGGTACCATCAAATAGCCTGTCCCAGCACAGGCCGTCGCTCACCAGCCCCTGTTTGCTTGTGTACTTTGCAGGGAGTGCTACGGCAAATACCTGTAGTGGGCTCTGTGCTGAACTGGTTTTCTCCATTCCAAGCCTCACCAAAGGGAAGAACGTTTAATTTAACAGCAGGTAGGACCCGGTGCATCTGCAGCCATGTTCTGCTGTCGTTAGAACTGTTCCCAATTTTATACTAAAACTGCAATACTTCCTTGTGCTCATTTGATTGTGAGTGACATAATCCACCCGCAGGATGTAAAAGAACATGCTCTTTACTATTTCTGTCACACCCAATAAGACTGATTTCTTCTAACCTCACTTGCACCACTTACATTTTGTTCTTGCACATTGAGTCACATTTAAAAAGCTGTATTAGACATTGGCATTTGTTAAAAGGAATCATTTCTGTGACTTTTGGTACAGATGCTGCAGGAGTTGGGTGTTTGTGCTGTCTGAGTGTAAGCTGGCAGGGTAGCACAGGGGTTGGAAGGCTGCATCCCCATGGATGTGCACGTGTGTGTGCCTGAAAAGTGGCACTCGGGTGCTCTGTGCTGCTGGGACTCCTGTCTCTGTCTGAAATCCCGGGGTGAGATACCATCTGGCTGTTGCCACACTGAGGCAGTACCAAGTGTGCAAAACTGTGCAATGGCTGACAAGGAGAGGCTTAACTAGCTGAGGACTAGCGTGAACCTGGCTTTGTGGAGACAGTAATGGAGTATCACCATGTAAAAGACTTACTTTACTCATATATTTATAACTTATGTCTGGTGATGTCAAAAGAGCTGTCAATAGTTTTTACATTACTGAGATTGCTAAATACCTTATAAATGCAGATGAACAGAAAACTTGTCTAGTTTGTGTTATATTCAACTTGATACATTTTTTTAACCTGCAGGCTCTCTAGAATCCACAGAATCTACATACGTATCAAAAGCCCAAGGAACAGGCACGACTCCACCACCGACTCCCTCTTCCAGCCTTGCAAAGCAAAGACTCCCTGGTAAGTTTCTATGGCTTAGTCTTATTTCTAAAGCTTGCTAAAACTCCTGCTGTTCGAGTTGCATGAGATGGGAAGATCCACGTGACCTTCCACCTTTCATAATGTCTGGAACTAGAGCTCCTCTTCTAGTGCCTTAGTCCACCGTAATTTAAACATGGCACAGAACACCAGCCACATCTGCTTTCTTCCCAAGAATTCTTCCTGGGATTACAGGAGGTTGTTATCCCATTAACTGACAACTGGCCCTGTCGTCTGGAATCTTCCGCTGGAATATTACAAGGTTATCAAGTTTTAAAAAATAGCAGATAAACAAGCCAAAGTTTTATTTAAAATAAAAGCACAAATAATGAATAATATTTACTTAAGCAACTGCATTTCTGTTGATACCCAATATTTTGTGGACAAAGTCTTTCTAAGCTGAAGATTTATTAAATCTATGGCAGTCTGTGTAGTTGTATTAGTAATTAATGTTGATTTGACTGGCAGGAAGACCATAGTTTGAGCTCACCTTTTGAGTTGGTTGGCTCCCAGCCTGCAGTTTTCAGTGCAGGTCTTCACCCTGGAATGACTTCTCTGTGCACATGGGCAGGTTGGGTTTCACCTGGATTTGGACAGTCTGTGTGTCCACAGATAAAGAGCAGGTGTTGCTGCCTCACACACAGGTCTGGGACTGCAAGAAAGTCTGTCTGTGCATAGGGTGCAAGTTAGCACCCAAATAAAATCTATTTCTTTGCAATTGTAAAATTCAGATACTTTTCTTGAAACTTAACTTGTGCAGGCCCCATTTTGTATTTGCTGCTGTCATTGGTACTGTGTTCTTCAAACCCTTCGCAGGTCAGAAACCTTTTAAGAGGTCTCTAAGAAGTTCTGATGCCCTCAGCGAGACCAGTTCAATCAGCCACTGTGATGACCTGGAAAAGATAGAGCAGAGACCCCCGACTCTGTCCCCAGGCCAAGAGCAAGGACCTTTGGAGACAGAAAAACCAGAGGAGCAGAAGGAGGTGGCACAGGCAACAAAGACAGACACTGAGGATGTTCAAAGTGACAAATCACCACGTGACTGCCCAAAGGTAGAGGAACAAGCAAGTCAAAGATAAAATCCAGATGGTGGATTTCGGACTTTGCAGAGGGAACCCGTGCCCTGGGAGGCGGGGTATTAATGATGCATTGAAAATGTGAACAGTGCCACACACTAGTACAGTAATAACTACTGTAACTTATTAACTGGGATTTTGCACAAATATAAATTCCCCCCATGGGACCGAGATTTGTCTTATTGTACACTTGTTACAGTTGCTTTAATCCTCTACATGTCAGTGTCACCAAAGTACTAGTGAAATTCATTAAATGCTCATAAACATTTGTAAAAAACAATTGGCAGTTATCCTTCTTGTAGGAATCTAAGCATGAGAATAGTTGCTAACCAACTGATCAGCCATACACAAGATTAAGAATACAGTTGCATCTAATAATTGTTAAATGATCTTACGTTAATACACTAAAAAAAAATAATCAACTGCCAATTGTTCACCTTTTTAATAGTTAAAATTCAGTTTTGCCTCGCCTGCAGAACATCTGCTGGAGTCACATTAGCTCTGTTTTGCTGCTTTTTTACCTTCTAAAGAACATTGCCAAACAGCTGCGGTGCGGTGAGCGCTGGGGACGGACGCCTGTGCCGACAGGAGTCACCGAGCAGGGCTTTCCTTTGCCATCAGCCATTTCTCCTGCTGTTGCGTGACTTGACCCGTTCAGCTGAGGCTCTAGGTACAGTGGGGACGGAGTTAATGAGTTCTAAGCCTTTTAGAAAGAAATAGTGCCCCTGCATGCCTCAACGGCTCCCTGCTTCTCCCACTGGGAGGAATCACCAACGCACCATTCTTTTCCTTTGCACGGCATTTATGAACCAAATACTATTGAACACATTTATGTAGTGTAACTGGAGTTCTTTCTGTTGTGTATTTTTAAAGATAGTTGTAGTAAAGCTTGGAAAAAACAATACATTTGTGATGGTTTCAACACTTATTTTTTTGAATAACAGTAACTTACGGTAGAAAATGTACAGATGCAAAGAAATTATATAGGTTATTTACACTACAGCACAACTTCATAATGTCTAGGACTACCTAATGCACAAATAAGCTTTGGCTAAATCAAAAGCGAAAATTTAGAATTCTTTTCCCCCCGAATTATCTTTATCACTTTGCTGCAAATTTTCAGAGCCTTTTGTGGGAAGGAGATCTTTATAAAAGCTTTCTTTCCCCAAGATACCTGATTTTGAGAAAAACCATCCCATCCTTCTAGAACTGGATACAAGTACTGGAGTTTGCTTCATTTGGTTTTTTGAGGTTTTTTTTTCTCTCCCCCTAAAAGGTAAATGTTAACACCATAATGGCTGTAGTGGCAGCAGGGCTTGCTTTGATAATCTGCAAAATTTGGGGTTTCTGAATTGTACTGTCACCTGATTAGACTTTCAGCTTCTAGATCCTGTGGGGCTGGGATGCCATGGACAAGGTTAATTTTGCTGTTGGGGTAATTTATGTAAATCAGAGTGCAATTTTTCTAAAGTGCAAAAACAATTAAGTTGACTAGTCTTCCTCATGGGTTTCTTTGGTGCAATGAAGTATGTTAATAAGAAGTATGTTAATTTGCTGGGGATAAAGTTATCACCACAGATTAATTTTTAATGTTTTTATATTTGGAGGTGTTAAACCAGTAGTTTTGTTGGAATGAGCTTCATTCTTTAGATACTATCTGAATGTTTCAATAAAGATTCTTCAAATTATTACTCTTGAATTAAGTAAGTTATTGTTGAAGGCTACCCCTGTGTTTCAGTAAGCTTTCAGTTTGTGCAGAATCATGTTCTAAAGTACACCCCAATGTCATGACTTACCTTCTCGATCTCTCAGCACTGCTACCTTCTATCTCTGCCCATCAAATTACTGCACTGGAGCAATAGAACATAAAGAAAGCCCAATTCTTACTTCAAAGTAGCAGTGACTCCTACATAAGTCATGAGAAAAAGCAAGTTATTTCTGTCAAAATGTTTTATTTTGAAAAGCACAGGAACAATGGTATTTGTGACCAGCAATATGCATTTTACAACAAATTGCTCTTCTTGCAAGACTGTACTTCCCTAAAGCAGTTGCAGTGTTTGGTTCCAGGTTAGATCTTGTCAGAACAAACCTGTTCCCACAATCCTTCTTCATTTTTTTTGTAGATGCGAGGTTTCCTGTCAGGGAACAGGGAGCGAGATGGGAAGGGATGTTCTTTTAAAAATGTTAACGTAGATCTAATGTGGGAAACAAAGTGGGGTGGTTCGGCCAGGGGCGATGTGGAAAGATTCTGAAAAACAAGACAGTAGCGAGAGCTGCTTGACATCCAGAATACCAAGTTCTCAATTATTCTGACTTTTAATAAGATTATTTCCCACCCTCCCCAGCAGTACACTGGGAAAAGGTTTGACAGACCATACCCCTCTCTCTACTCAGCTAAAAGAAAAGAAAAAGTCAGGTTTGGGTACCTGTAAAATCTGTTCATCATCTTGTTCCAACCAGAAATCCACATGTGGGAAAGGCCTCCAGAAGTAAGGCCCAATATGTAGTTGTTCCATCTTTGGATCGTAAATGTTAGTCAGCTGTAACAACACAGGGAGCCTTCAGCATCACAAAATGCTTTCACAGCTGAGAGACAGCAAATTCACTTAATCTGGAAGGCCTTAAACTGCAGCATCTGTCTTGGACATGCTGCCAGCTCAGCACCACTTCATTCCTGTTCCATAAAGATTAACCAATTATTCTGACAAACAAGAGGTTAAACTGTAACACCACCACACTGCTGGGATTATGCCCATGGCCTGAATCTCTTTACGTAAAGTTATCCCGCAGAGAGCTGCGGGGCTGGTCGTAACAGCGCGCCAAAGAGCCCTACTGCCCAGAGAATGCTCACTCTGGCACAAGTGGTTTGATCCCCACCCTTACCCTCTGCCTCTGCTTCTGACAGAACACTACGCAAAGTATTTTTTCCTCAAACTTTTGACATTTCATTACCCTTAACTGGTCTCCTCTTCCAGTAAAAATACCCTTTTTCCCCGTGTTATTTTTTACTCACTGTTGCTCCTGTTAAAATGTGGGCTGAACGCAAATCCTCATCTGGCCCTTTTTCTGGGAAGGTTGCAGGGAAAATCTCTGCTGTTTTAACATTCACAGCTGGTAGGAAATAGAGTTTAATACAGAAACAATTAATTCCTTACAAAACACTTGTTTAAAATGACCACATCCCAAGCACAACTATGTTGCAGGAACTTTAGAACCCATCAAACACTATTCTTGTATTTCTCAGTACCGCAGACCCCTTACCCTGTGACAGCATATTTCTACTTATTTTGCTTTGCTAGCATTTCTATATTCCAGAAGAACATTTTCAGAGATACTTAAACTAATTAGAAACAGCACAGCATGAACAATGAACAGAAGGTTGAATTCTAACCCCAAAGATTAGTACAGTAGCTTGATATGACAAAATTCTAAGCACAGTTAAATGAAAAAAATCTGCTTGTATTTGTACACAGCCACTTCCGTGTGTGCATCCACCCAACTCTGGCAGCAGAAGAAAACTTCTATTTCTACCTACACCTCCCACAGCAGCGCTTCACTTTTAGAACTGGCTTTACCTAGTCATTAAAAGCAACCCATTCACTACTGGAAGCAATCCAGTTAAAAAAAAAAGCTTGAATCTTAATTTAACTCACCTATTCCATAAATGATTGGAAAGTGAATATCCTTTTCTTCTCTGTCATTCAGTTCTGTAACCAAAAAAAAGTCAAACTTGTAGTGCTTTGGATTTTTTCCTGAGCAGCATTCATTTTGGTGTTCAGGGGAGAACAGATCTGATGTTGTATAAAGATGGAAAAAAACCTAAGGAAGCCTAAAAGAAGTATGGAAAAGAAGGTACAGGCCGATAACAACGTGCTTGGGGCCTGGAGTAGGACTCTATCTCCTAACAGTAGGGCCAGCTCCAGCCAGCCATCACCCCCACTTTCTGCATGGGCAATTTACAGGAAAAAAAACACAATGCAAAACTACCATGATGCCAAGTTCCAGTCACCAACAGAACTGAAATGCAAAGATGATGGAAATTCAACATGAGCGTGGTATGAAGAAAAGGAAATTCTGTCTTCCTTTATATGACATCACACACTATGAACTAACTGAATGAGTTTATGAATTCATTCACAGCTGCAGATACGGCAGACCTAACGACCCAGCAGGCAAAGGTCTCTACGGGCCCCTCCCAAGTGCCTCGTACAATCTGCAGACACACAGCCTCTTCCCACAGGACACAGGTGGTGAAATAACCTGGTAAGAATCGGGGGGTTTCTACTACCAGTTGCATTTCAGCAGCACTTGGTGAGGAGAGAATCCTCTCTGCACTGTCCATCTGACATCACACACAACCAGCAATAAAACTAAAAATTACAAATTGTTATGAAGGACTCGTGCTGTTCTTTCTTACAGGACAGATAAAAAAAGCCATGTAAAAAGACCCCTGCACTTTGATTTCAGTGGCTAAAGAAACTTCAAAAACCAAGGAAACATTTTCTTACCTGTTACGCAGAAAGTCACCAAATGAACATCATCTGGTTGGAGGTCGAATGCTCCTACAGCAACAACGATAGCAGCAATGTATAAGACTGAATGGTGGCAAAGCAGGTGCTGTATATAGACGAGGGGGCATTATCAGTGCTGCGCACTGCAGAATAGATGGGCAGAGATACCTAACGCACTGTTCCTAGATAAGGCAACAGAGCAAAGAGCATTTTGCAGATTTGCTTCAAACTTCTATAAAGTTAAAGCCACAGCTACTAAACATAACAGTAATTTATAGAGAGTAGCCACCTGTAACTGCAAAAACATGCTAAAATAGTGTTGTGACACTTACTCCCTTTACTGACACTAATTTAGCTCTGGCATCACATCAGGTCTGCTTTCGTTCACTACACATTTAACAGCTTATATTTAAATGTATTTTCCCAAAACGTGACATATATAGTGAACAAACCCAGTCTCTCATTAGCTGTAACTTAATTCTGCTTTTCACTATCTCACACACTAGAAATAAAAAAATCCTCCCAACAATAATTTTTACCTCATCACATTAAGGTATGAAGGGAGTAGTAAATAATAAAGCCACCCACATGTATAGATGGTGATAACACTTGACCAAGATCACATTGCACCTTGGCAGCAGAGCTGCACCCCAATTCTACACATCAGAATATAAACCAGGAAGAAATTACAAGCTTAGACCCTCTACCACACACATTGGCCACGTGCAAGCCTCAGAAGACCAACCCCTCTCCACATCACATTCTCAGGTAGAAAAAAACACCCTGCAAAATTAATCCAGGTTTCTTTCCCTGAAGTGACAGGGGGCTCAGATTACAAACAAACTTCACCCAAAGCCAGTCAGAACTAATTTTTTTGGACATGAGAGTGGAAAAAACGTGAACTTACTAAGAAGCTGATTAGTAAGTTTTTGTGATAACTGCCTATCATCATTGAAACCTCCAACTAGGTGCACTTCCAGCCTAACAGAGATGGAATAACAGGAAACAGCAGTTAAAAAAACATCTCAAAGTGAATAGCTTTACAAAATAATCCCCAGCCCAAAACGCAAAGCAATCATTAGAGAAGCCTCAATTGTTACAATCACATGCGCCAAGTTGGTTTGCGTTACATCGCAAGTTACGGTGATTCCATTCTGATCACTTCAGGGATCACCCAGGAAACTGCACAAAATAAAAACTTTAAGAGGTATTACAGGCATGCAATTCTATCTAACCCAGTGCTGTCTCTGATGGTCAGCACCTCTGGTTTGGACCAAACTCAGTAACCACCTTTCAGTTCCCAAGAAGGGGTTAATTAAAAATGAAGATTTTTCGCTCCTGAGACCGCCTCACTACTATTCTGCACCATACAGCAGGGTTCTTCTCTGAAAAGTGTCTATGCAAAGACAAGTCTTGACAAATCATGAGTTTTTAGGGGCCATATCTTCTAAGTTCATTGAGGTTTTGTTCTTACCAAACTACAGGAGCAAAAGAACCCCATATCCAGAAAGAACCTTGTTTGCTAAATTCCATTTCAGAGCTTTTTTTTGTGCCCACTGTCCCATTCCCCTCCCTACTTTTTTTTTTTTTTAAATGCAGGACTTAAAAAAATCCCAGATAGATTCTCAGATTCCAAGAGAATTTACAAGACCAACAGTCTGGAAGGAAAAACAGAATATAAACCCACAAACAGTTGTTTGGAAAATTTCTGCACATCTGAAATGGCAGTTAACCTGAAAACAGTAAGCACAAAACCTCACAATGGCATTTTACAGAGACAGTATTCAGAACAGAACCATGCTTTAAACCACTGCTAAAAATACCCCCAAAACCATCAAAGAAATCATTTTCACTTCACACGTGGTTCTTGATCAAGAGATATTTCCTGCACAATTACCTTGTCTGAACCCTGTAAAATCACATAAAATTTCCGCACCTTACAAACTGCAGTAACCTTTGTGACAAACAGTACAGAAGAAATAAGAGCAGAGCTGACCTGCCATATCCGGTGGTGTCAGAGAAAGATTTTACTGAACTCATGATGAGCGACACCTCAGCTTCTGTGTCTGATCCGTCGCAGTGTGTCAAACAGGTAGCTCCACTGCCTGAAGACGACAATTAAAGACATTGTCGGAGGCTGTTACATTACCATAATTTAATAAACTTATAAGAGTTAA